TAATAATAATAATAATAATAATAATAATAATAATAATAATAATAATCTTTATTGCTACCAGTACATGATACAACTTATACAGACCATAGCTGACACCAATGACATACTATATAGAAAGTCCCGGGTTATGTAGAGCATTTCCCGCAACTTAGGTTAATTTTGTCCCCCAGGATGCCACCCACACCAGTCTACTAATACCCAGGTACCTATTTACTGCTAGATGAACAGGAACAGCAGGTGTAAGGAAACTAACACCCTGGTACATACTTATTGCTAGGTGAACAGGGACAGCAGATGTAAGGTGACTCATACCCAGGCACCTACTTAATATTAGATGAAAAGGGACATCAGGTGTAAGGTGACTAACACCCAGGTACCTACTTACTGCTAGGTGAATAAGGACAGCAGGTGTCTTAAGGAAACACACCCCAACGTTTTCACCCGTACCACGGACATCAGTGTGCTACCCAAGTGAGATAAGATAAGATAAGATTTCGTTCGGATTTTTAACCCCGGAGGGTTAGCCACCCAGGATAACCCAAGAAAGTCAGTGCGTCATCGAGGACTGTCTAACTTATTTCCATTGGGGTCCTTAATCTTGTCCCCCAGGATGCGACCCACACCAGCCGACTAACACCCAGGTACCTATTTGCTGCTAGGTGAACAGGACAATAGGTGTAAGAAAACGTGTCGAAATGTTTCCACCCGCCGGGAATCGAACCCGGGCCCTCCGTGTGTGAAGCGGGAGCTTTAGCCACCAAGCCACCAACAGAGCTACGAGACACGCTTGTGAATCACCATCATCGTTATACTCCAGGGGGAGATCTAAATCCGCATGGGCCACACGTCCCCCGGGGCAAGCGGGAAATAATCAATGGTGAGCCGAGAAAAGGCAAGGTAGCAGCCATCCCTTGGACCAAGAGCCCTTCGCTGGCATCAAGGTCCCCCTGAAGGACTCACTCAACATTAATACGTCATGGACGCTCGTTGTTTATCTTATCAACCGCTGGGCGGGGAGGGATAAGTGGTCACATCTGTCTTGTTTGGTATCCCTTGAAGAGGGATACCTTAAAAATTTATACCTGAAGAGGGATACCTGAAAAGGTATACCCGAAAAAGGTATCCCTGCAGAGGGATACCTGGAAAAGTATCCCTGGAGAGGTATAACTGGAAAAATATCCCTGGAGAGGTATACCTGAAAAGGTATCCATGAAGAGGGATACCTGAAAAGGTATTTATGAAGAGGGATACCTGAAGAGGTATATATGAAGAGGTATACCCGGAAAGGTATCCCTGAAGAGGAATCTATGAAGAGATATTCCTGAAGAAGTACTCCTGAAGAGATATCTTTGAAGTGGTATCCATGAAGAGGTATCCATGAAGAGGTATCCATGAAGGGGTATCCATGAAGGGATCCCTTGAAGAAGTATCACTGAAAGGGCATCTTCGAAGAGGCATCCCTGACGAGGTATTCTCGAAGAGGAATACCTGAATGGGTATCCCTGAAGAAGTATCCGTGAAGGGGTATCCCTGAAGGGGTATTCCTGAAGAGGTATCCCCGAAGAGGCATTCCTGAAGGGGGATGGATACCTTCAGGTGATCGCCTAGAGAACGACTCATCCGATCTACTTCAAGTTCGACAACTTAAGTGTTACCGATATATCCCGATGCCTCCCCTGGCTTTGTGTGTGTGTGTGTGTGTGTGTGTGTGTGTGTGTGTGTGTGTGTGTGTGTGTGTGTGTGAACACCCAGGTATGGAGCGTCAGGTGTCAGACGTACTGGAGGGGTCACAGCGCCTCCTAACTCACCTGCTTAGATAACAAGGCGCTGAGATCCCCTCCCTCGTTCACCACCTGTTTCCCCTCCTCCCCCCATCTCCCTTCACCCCTCACCCCTCACCCCTCACCCCTCACCCCTCACCCCTCTGTATGATGCCCACACAAGGGGAAGCTATTTTTGAAAAATAATTCTCTGTTACATCAAGACTGACCTGTTTCTGGCACCAAGAAAAATGAAAATGGAATTGGAATTGTTGCAGTCATGGTATTGTGGGTTAGTTGTGAATTGTTGCAGTCATGGTATTGTGGGTTAGTTGTGAATTGTTGCAGTCATGGTATTGTGGGTTAGTTGTGAATTGTTGTAGTCATGGTATTGTGGGTTAGTTGTGAATTATTGTAGTCATGGTATTGTGGGTTAGTTTTAATTGTTGTAGTCATGGTATTGTGGGTTAGTTTTAATTGTTGTAGTCATGGTATTGTGGGTTAGTTGTGAATTGTTGTAGTCAAGTTATTGTGGCTAATTCAACATAATCACAAATAAAATATTAAGAATTTCTACGTAAGTTAGGGTATAAGAACATTGCAAATATTTAACCTTAAATACGACACCAGAATAAGCACTTAACTAATTTTATAAACTCAAGATAAGTTGTAATGAACTATTGCCAGTAAATAAGCAATAGAATGGACGGAGACTCGAACCATGGTGTGTTTGAGTGACAAGCCCCTCACTGTACCACCCAGCCACGAGGGTTACAGTAAGATTATTGCTTCTGTGACATGGTTGTATCAGCAGCAACAGCTGTCAAGGACCCCAGTGGAAATGGAAATCAGACCATCAATCTGATTACATCGGCTCCAGGCTAAGGGACTGATTACCTCAAACTCCTTCTGATCTCCACCATTCTTCTTGGCATAGGACTGATGAAGCCACTGTGTGGTGAAACGTTTCCTCAGTAAAGACGTCCAAGTGTTGCACATGTGTTTAATTTATTCACTTGTCTGTTCTCTGAACCATTTATCTAAACTGTCTGACTACGGTTCGAGTCCCTGTCCATTCCTTTGTTTATTCACTAATCAATTTTACATACAAAAATATGTCAGTGTCACTTATGGATCAAGTCTACTAACAATAAGCTAAAATATAATAAATCGAGCTATGTTTTGACATTACATTATCGCTAACTTACTTATAGGTTATATTTGCATTCGTGTTGCATTTATAGTAAGCTTATATTACATCAAATGACGATAAACCACGAATAAATCTTCTTTGTGTTTGAGGCAGAGTTGATTTCTGGGTTCTGTGATGGAATGCGGGTTGAGACTCGTAACTCGAGGATCCGGAATCCGGATTGAGCCACAATAAGAGTGAGAGAGAGGAGGCAGCGTTCGCTAGCGGTTTTAGTGGGCAGCCGGTTACTGGACTCAGGTGAAGTGAGAGCAAGTAAGTAAGTAAGTTTACTCAGGTATACACAAATACAGTTACATAGAATTATCATACATAGCAGCATATGTGTAGAGAACCTAGGATAACCCAAAAAAGTCAGACAGAGTGACTTATTTCCATGCTCTGCTGGGGTTTGGCAAATTATAATTATCATACGTACATACATACATAGTAATATATGCATGATTTACGTAGAATAACCCCCATAAGTCAGAAAAGTGACTTATTTCCATTGGGGTCTTTGTGATATCTTATTATTTAAACCTAAAGTTAAAACAGCTAAGTAACTCAACTGTGTGAAAATCAATTAAAATAAAAGGAGATATACTGGGAATAAGGTAAGCTGAGGTATTTACATTACAATTAAAGAGAGGATTAGCTTACAATAATAGGTACATGAATGTTAACTATACAAGAAATCACTCTCCTTCCTTTCTGCAGCTTCATTCATTAGGTACCTTTCTGTAGCTTCATTCATTCATTAGGTACCTTTCTGTACCTTCGTCATTAGTACCTTTCTGTAGTTTCATTCATAAGATATCTTCCTGTAGCTTTATTCATTAGGTACCTTTCTGTAGCTTCATTGATTAGGTACCATTTAGCTCTCTTCTTGAACGGGTTCATGCCAGGACAGGCTTTGTACGCAGGTGGTCCGTTCCACTCCTTTATTATTGTACTGTGGGTATTACAAAGTTGTGCTCCCTTCCCCTAGTACCATACTTGTTTAAGTTCCCATCCTTAACAGACATGGCAGCAAGATATTCTGGACACTACTTGTAAACAGTTTTATAAACGTGATTTAACTTCAATTGCTTTACTCTGTCTTCAACATTCAGCATATCCAGTTCTTGCAGTTCCTTCTGGTCTAGATGTACTCTTGGATCCAGGTCCACCATGAATATCACTATTTTGTTCTGGGTGATTTGTAGTCTTTTAGTTTTTTGTTAAGGCAGAGTACCCTGAAGAGCAAGAATTATCTATATGGTGCTGTATAAAAGCTAGACATAAGGTCCACATGATCTAATTGGGAACTTCTATTTTCTTTTTCTAATTGCAAAGGACTCCTCTTTCTTGGATTGTCCTAGGTAATTAACATTACGTATGATAATTACACAATGATTTCAATGGAAATAAATCACTTTGACTTTTTGGGAGGGTTTTCCCTAGGTATTAAACACTATACGTATATAATAATTGTACTTATATATACCTGTGCCTAAATAAACTTACCATATCTTCCGGCTCTGGTGGCCTGGTGGCTAACGCTCGCGTTTCACACGGCGAGGGCCTGGGTTCGATTCCCAGCCAGAGTAGAAACATTGGGTGTGTTTCTTTCCACCTGTTGTCTATGTTCCCCATCAGTAAAATGGGTACCTGGGTGTCAGTCGACTGGTGTGGGTCGCATCCTGGGACACTGACCTAATTTGCCCGACATGCGGAACATAACAAGTGGCTTTCTACATAGTAGTATGTCACTGATGTCAGCTAGGACTGTATACCATGTACATGTACTTGTAGTAAATAAAGATATTATAAGACGCGCCTTCCCCCCCCCCCCCCCACAAAGTCATGGAAAACTTATTCTATGCCTTATATTCTCAAGGTCAAGGGTAGGCTATAGGTTACACTTTAGCATAAAGTAAGAGAGTAATTAAACCCTTGAAAATGATTACCGATTTACCGTTACAAGTCCATCGTGCGCCTTATATGCCGGAAAATACAGAACATAATGAAGCCGGGTTCGATAGTGCATAAGCCGTCAGTGACTCTTATAAACCCAACAAGAAGAGTGAGAGGGAACATCACTGGTGCTTTACACTCACTACTTCTCTACAAGCGACGTTATTAAAGGAAGATAATGCTCGCCTTCAGTACTCAGACATTAACTTGTAAGAACCTACAGGAGTACTTGAGGTCCTTACCTAAGGACACGCTAGACAGGCTCTACAGACACCCCGCCACCTGCCTCGCTGTCTTCAGGTGGGTTTATTAGGGGGTCCTTGATGGAGGTGAGAAGCTCTTGATCCAAGGAACGAACTGAATCGAACCTAAGTGCCTCCAGTTCCCCAAGCACATTATAACCCCTACAGGTTTAGTGCTTCTCCATGAGATGATTTTTTTTTCCAATTGAAGTACGTATTAATTCCCTTGAAGGGAAGGTTCCTTGATGCCGGTGAAAGGCTCCTGATCCAGGGAATTAGAGCTGCCCCTCCCCTTCCTTGGATCAAAGCTGATTACTTCCCATCCTCTACTCCAATATTCATTACAAGGACCCAAATGGAAATTACTTCGTCTGACTTTTTTGGGTTACCTTAGGTAATTTACACTATGTATGATAATTGTACTTATGTGTACCTGTGCCTAAATATACTTACATACTTACACATGTCGGGAAGAAAAAGAAGTATTTAAATTCAAGCCCATGATGACACTCTTCAGGTCACTTGTTTTATCTAGGCTGGAATATTGCTGCACACTAACACCACCTTTCAAGGCAGGTGAAATTGCTGACCTAGAAAATGTACAGAGAACCTTCACGGCGCGCATAACGGAGATAAAACACCTTAATTACTGGGAGCGCTTGAGGTTCCTGAACCTGTATTCCCTGGAACGCAGGCGGGAGAGATACATGATTATATACACCTGGAAAATTCTAGAGGGACTAGAACCGAACTTGCATACGAAAATCACTCCCTATAAAAGCAAGACTCAGCACACAATGCAATATCCCCACAATGAAAAGCAGGGGTGTCACTAGCATGATAAGAGACAACACAATAAGTGTCAGGGGCCCAAGACTGTTCAACTGCCTCCCAGCATACATAAAGGAGATTGCCAATTGACCCCTGGCTGTCTTTAAGCAGGCACTGGACAGCCACCTCAAGTCAGTACCTGACCAGCCGGGCTGTGGTTTGTACGTTGGACTATGTGCAGCCACCAATAACAGCCTGGTTGATCAGGCCCTGATCTACCATGAGGCTTGGTCACAGACTGGGCCGTGGGGGCGCTAACCCCCAAAACCCTCTCCAGGTATACTTCAGGTATATAAGACTAACAGTTGACTTTGGTCTCTATGATACTGTATTAAGAATGTCGTAGGGGTTGTATTCTATAAATACATACTTATACAGGCTCCAACGTTGCTTTGCATATGTAATGTTGTATAAATATATACTTTGCATTTTTTAGTAAATTTTCTTACTTTGTCAGTAAATATTTACAAGATTTTAGAGTTTAAATATCCATATTGTGTAGAGAATTCAAGTGTCAGGGATAAGCAATAAGCAGATCTTAATGGCAATCACACTCTTTACGTTTGTTGGGTTATCCTGGCTTAAGTCTTCATGTGTCACTGTTGTATGGCCTTAATGTATAAACATTGGTATAAAGAACTTGAATAAACATCAATCACGAATACACAAATAACCCACACGTAGAAGACAGAAACTTATGATGTTTTGGTCTTATGTACAGGTTATTTGTGTATTGTTCCAGTCATGGTATTGTGCCTTTTTATTCTCTGTCAATCAGTAAATCAATAGCACCATTCTGGATTTAGATTTTTAGATTTTGCCACAGAAGTGGCTAGTTTATTGTGCACCCCATATCCATCCTGTGGACAGTAGCACAAGATCATATGGATACACAAAAGGCCTAGGAATGAGGGCCCCAAAAGGGTATACAGGTATACACTTGGATTAATATTTACTCTGCGTATAGTACTAACAGCCACTACTATCATCACAGTGAAAAAAATTAAAAATAAGATAAAGTTTTCTTTGCAGGGAACTTCCAGAATTGAGCCGACAGTTCATTCTGAGGCTCTTGTTCGTGACCAAACCCATCTCACAAGTTTTGTTAGCCACATGGATCCCCCAGCACGAGCCAGGCAGGTGAGAAGCATTTCGGATCTTATTTTTTTATAGTAGTAGCTCATATTAAATGGAAAATGTTATATTCAGTAATGTAAAGCTTTATGAAAATTAATTTAAAATATCAACTGTTTTCCAAAATATATTTTCATAGATAATTTGTAATTTGATTGTGACGTTAGTACACTTCCGGAAGGATGGCAGTTGAATGAATGATGGTGAATGTTTTCTTTTTTTGGGTCACCCTTTACATAGCAGGAGACAGCTGTTGAAATAAAAAAAAAGCTTGAAAGGAATAGCAATCAAGGGGGTCATGAAAGGCTTGCACAATACTTTGTTCCAAGTAAAAGTTGTAAAGTACATACTAAATATAAAGAAATATGTTTTTTGTTGCTAGACTTGAAAAGGACACACTGAATTTTGAAGTTTCTGGGAGCACGAGCAATGGAAATAATTTAGAAAAGGTTAATTGTGAGGTGTAAGAAGCTGTAATGAAAGTTTTTTCCTCAGAACTGGCTTTCCTTTTGATATAAGGAAAAGTTTCTCCTTAGAACATTACCATAGACAAAGCTTATTCTGATAATTAAAAGAATAAAACCTACAATACAGCAGCTGGAATAGTTCACTATTAACCTGCAGTCTGCAGGGAAAAATCTTAGAAGACATTTCAGTCATGACTTGATAAGGGTCAGGGACAAACCAGAGTGTTATTTAGTTTACAGTCAGTCATCAGAATATGAGAAAATAGACTAAAAAAACATTTCAGGAATTTTTGATAACTGAAGAATTGGGAATGATCTTGAGACGAAAGTCAAAACTGACTGATGTCTAGTGGCTTTCTTTTGTGCTTACTAATCTTTTGTACCACATAAAGAAATACAGATTTGTATTTGTAAAGAAATTTATATTCACAGAGACCTCGGAGACATTGCTTCAGAGCACCGGCAGGGCACACAGGTCCTGCTTGACATGTATATATGGCAGGAAGTGAAGGACCACCAGGGTAATATGGCCATCAAACTCAACAACACTTTTAGAGAGAATCTTAAAGTGGCTGTGCTTGGAGGGTAAGGTTTAGTGTATTATTTCTTTGTAATACAAAATAATAGGTTAAAAGGAGTAGCTTCTGTTACCTGGTACCCTTGTGGGTTTAATGCTTGGCTTTGATTGCAATAATAAATTCTATTATCTAGCAAAATTGTTTGATCCATCTATATTCTTTTCTTTAGTGGAAAACCATGGACTATGTCTGCTGCTTTAGACCCAGATCCACATCAACGAGACATCGAGTTTCTAGACAAATATGCAATGGATAGATGGGAAAGTGTTTTGCAGTTCCTGGTGCAGCCTGGGCAGGGCCAGACAGCCATCTCCCGAGATGCCATGCTCACACTCCTTCATGCAGGCCTTATTGAAAGGTATTTTCTCAGCCCAACTAGATGACTATTGTAAAATCTTTGTACGTATTACATACTTCATAATATGCTTTTTGATATCCTAGTTTATTAATACCGATTTGTGTTACATTGCTAACAGCAGTGATGAGTCGGACAACATGCAGATAACCAGCTCAGGTTTTCAGTTTCTCCTCCTTGACACGGCTTCACAAGTTTGGTTCTTCATCCTGAAATATTTAGAGACCGTGACAGAGCGTGGCCTCAGCCTTGTGTCATGTCTCACATTCCTTTTTAAGCTGTCATTCTCAACTCTAGGTAAGGTGAGTGGTACAATATTTAAACATGTGCTTTATATGGGCAATATGTATTTCATATTATGAAAAAATTATTCTCATTAATCTTTCACACGAGTCATTGCTGTTTGAATTATACACAAGTTGTTCTCTATATTTACATTTTGTAAGTTTGTTTAATGCTGTTTTACTCATGTGGGTTTATCACTTTGCTTTCGAGTACAGTACTGATATAATGAATAATAATCATTTGGCTAAGTAGAATAATATGAAACTCAGTATAATAAAATGCTTTGTATAAATTCTTTATCAATTAATATTTAATCCATGTACAGTACTTTTTAATCTTATTTTGTGAGTATCTATATGAAAATTTCAAAACAATTTCTTGTGTCAAGTTGTTTAGGAACCTTCTATGCGTAAGTAAAGCAACATGATTTTCTAACACATCAGCCATTTATCCCAAAGTAGAGTGACCAGAGGAAGGTAACCACTCAACATTACTTATTTTTTAGCTTTTATTTTTTTTTTCAACACATTGGGCATCTTCCACTGAGGCAGGGTGACCTAAAAAGAAAAATGAAAGTTTTTTATTCATCAAACTGGCCATATCCCACCGAGGCAGGGTGACCTAAAAAAAGTCACCCTGTATACAGGGTAATGTATACAGGAGTAATGTATACAGGGTAATGTATACAGGAGAAGGGGTTACTAACCTCTTGCTCCCGGCATTTTAGTCGCCTCTTATGACACGCATGGCTTACGGAGGAAAGATTCTTTTCCGCGTCCCCATGAAGTTACCGTATTTCACGGCTTATAAGACTTGTTTTAGTCTCAATGGCTCAGCATCGGACATAACTGGGAGAGCTACAACCCACCCCACACTCCAAACTTACAGATCCCGTCACTGACCTTCAGTTTATAGGACGCAGGGTGGTTATTGGAGACGTTTTATGGAAAAATAATGCCTCTAATAAGCTGCAATATAGTACAGCATTTTCTAGCTGTCTTTCCAAAAATGCATGGACTTACAGTTTGAATGACCCTATCAAGCACAGCATCCCCAAACATCCTTACCCCCTCCAGATATCCTAGGTTGGCTATGCAGGTTTCAAGAGTCCCATCATAAACTCAGTTTATTAACATATATTTTTTTTCAGGATTACAGCATGGAGGGAATGGATAATGAGCTTCTTACTTTCCTCCAACATCTTCGGGAATTTGGTCTTGTGTACCTGCGCAAACGAATTTCTGGCAGGTTTTATCCCACTAGATTAGCACTGAACATCACTGCTGGCCAAAATAAGGTGAGTCTGAATGTTTAACATAATTATAAATCGCCTTACCATTCACATCACATCAAGACTTCACTGTTTTTTAAACACGGTAACTTAAAGGAAAAGGTATTTTTCTTCATTACATGATAGTAATTGCAGTTTTGATAATGTGGAGGTGATGATGGATATGACAATAAGCTAGAAAGTGTAATCTGCTTCCTACAGTGTGCATTCTTACATTTTCTAGGAGAATATCTTGCATCAGTAATTCTAGAATTGGCACTTTCTATCTTATATTCATATTTGTCTTCACGTCATCATCACCAACACTACAGTCACTGTCATGTTATGAAGCAGATACCATTTTTGGGGGAGAAAGGAGCTTAGGAGTGCAAGAGGTTGAGGGGCTGGTTATGTCTTGAAGTGGATGGCTGGGCTTTTCATTGCTGCTCCCTGAAGATTCCTTAATTTCATGACATTCCTCAGAATCTTCTTTACTTCACCTCCAATCTTGCATCACTGCTCCTGATGCCACAATACCTGAGAATTCACTTGATTCAACTCATACTTCAACACTGTCACCACTATAGCACCAAACAGAGTGCAGGACTTTTATCTGCCATGCTCTACTTTGTGGGCCAGTATTTTTTTCTAGCTAATCCAAATCCAGCTTTAAAATTTCAGCATGCAGGGTAATATTTAGTGAAGGGATTCAGGGAAACCATTTATTTTTATATAGCTGGACTTAATTACTGGAAATGGGGTTATGAGGATAACAAAAAGATTGGGTGATGAAAGATTGGATATCAGATTGGAGGGAGAGAGTATGGAGGAGGTGAATGTATTCAGATATTGGGGAGTGGACGTGTCAGCAGATGGGTCTATGAAAGATGAGGTGAATCATAGAGTTGATGAGGGGAAAAGGGTGAGTGGTGCACTTAGGAGTCTGTGGAGACAAAGAACTTTGTCCTTGGAGGCAAAGAGGGGAATGTATGAGAGTATAGTTTTACCAACGCTCTTATATGGGTGTGAAGCATGGGTGATGAATGTTGCAGCGAGGAGAAGGCTGGAGGCAGTGGAGATGTCATGTCTGAGGGCAATGTGTGGTGTGAATATAATGCAGAGAATTCGTAGTTTGGAAGTTGGGAGGAGGTGCGGGATTACCAAAACTGTTGGCCAGAGGTCTGAGGAAGGGTTGTTGAGGTGGTTCGGACATGTACAGAGAATGGAGCGAAACAGAGTGACTTCAAGAGTGTATCAGTCTGTTGTGGAAGGAAGGCGGGGTAGGGGTCGCCCTAGGAAAGGTTGGAGGGAGGGGGTAAAGGAGGTTTTGTGTGCGAGGGGCTTGGACTTCCAGCAGGCATGCGTGAGCGTGCTTGATAGGAGTGAATGGAGACAAATGGTTTTTAATACTTGACGTGCTGTTGGAGTGTGAGAAAAGTAACATTTATGAAGGGGTTCAGGGAAACCGGCAGGCCGGACTTGAGTCCTGGAGATGGGAAGTACAGTGCCTTCACTCTGAAGGAGGGGTGTTAATGTTGCAGTTTAAAAGCTGTAGTGTAAAGCACCCTTCTGGCAAGACAGTGATGGAGTGAATGATGGTGAAAGTTTTTCTTTTTCGGGCCACCCTGCCTTGGTGGGAATCGGCCAGTGTGATAATAAAAAAAAAAAATAATAATATATATTATGAGGATAGTGAGGCTCAGGTTAGGGTGTGTAGAAGAGAGGGAGACTACTTCCCGGTTAAAGTAGGTCTTAGACAGGGATGTGTAATGTCACCATAAACAGACGAGTCGAGTCGAGTAATGTCACCATGGTTGTTTAATATATTTATAGATGGGGTTGTAAAAGAAGTAAATGCTAGGGTGTTCGGGAGAGGGGTGGGATTAAATTATGGGGAATCAAATACAAAATGGGAATTGACACAGTTACTTTTTGCTGATGATACTGTGCTTATGGGAGATTCTAAAGAAAAATTGCAAAGGTTAGTGGATGAGTTTGGGAATGTGTGTAAAGGTAGAAAGTTGAAAGTGAACATAGAAAAGAGTAAGGTGATGAGGGTATCAAATGATTTAGATAAAGAAAAATTGGATATCAAATTGGGGAGGAGGAGTATGGAAGAAGTGAATGTTTTCAGATACTTGGGAGTTGACGTGTCGGCGGATGGATTTATGAAGGATGAGGTGAGTGGTGCGTTGAGGTATATGTGGAGTCAAAAAACGTTATCTATGGAGGCAAAGAAGGGAATGTATGAAAGTATAGTAGTACCAACACTCTTATATGGGTGTGAAGCTTGGGTTGTGAATGTAGCAGCGAGGAGGCGGTTGGAGGCAGTGGAGATGTCCTGTCTAAGGGCAATGTGTGGTGTAAATATTATACAGAAAACTCGGAGTGTGGAAATTAGGAGAAGGTGTGGAGTTAATAAAAGTATTAGTCAGAGGGCAGAAGATGGGTTGTTGAGGTGGTTTGGTCATTTAGAGAGAATGGATCAAAGTAGAATGACATGGAAAGCATATAAATCTATAGGGGAAGGAAGGCGAGGTAGGGGTCGTCTTCGAAAGGGTTGGAGAGTGGGGGTAAAGGAGGTTTTGTGGGCAAGGGGCTTGGACTTCCAGCAAGCATGCATGAGCGTGTTAGATAGGAGTGAATGGAGACAAATGGCACTTGGGACCTGACGATCTGTTGGAGTGTGAGCAGGGTAATATTTAGTGAAGGGATTCAGGGAAACCAGTTATTTTCATATAGTCGGACTTGAGTCCTGGAAATGGGAAGTACAATGCCTGCACTTTAAAGGAGGGATTTGGGATATTGGCAGTTTGGAGGGATATGTTGTGTATCTTTATACGTATATGCTTCTAAACTGTTGTATTCTGAGCACCTCTGCAAAAACAGTGATAATGTGTGAGTGTGGTGAAAGTGTTGAATGATGATGAAAGTATTTTCTTTTTGGAGATTTTCTTTCTTTTTTGGGTCACCCTGCCTCGGTGGGAGACGGCCGACTTGTTGAAAAAAAAAAAATGTATATTCCTCACCCAGTTGGTCACACAGACATACATATGCAGGTATACTGTACAACGCTGCCAGTTTAATGGTTTAGGAAGTGTAACTACAGTATATAAATATTTACTTTAAGGCATTATTTATAGACACTTATCAAACAGGCAAAGAGACTGAGGCCAAATAAATAATTCCATCATTTATTAATGCTTTCAAATATTTAAGTAAAGTCAGCTAAGTTAAAGCATCTTTCTCACACATGTTAATGAAATTCTCAAATATGAGAGTGATTGAGTTATAGTATTTTCTCAACTTTCTGGTAGTTTTACAAGTAAATTTTATACCTTTAACATATCATTCAGAATGTGTTAGTTTTCAATAGCCTGTGAGGATTAACACTAGCAGCATAAGAGTTAAAAAAAATATATGCAAATGTGGTAACTATGTAAAGAAAGTTGTTTCTGATGTGCTAACAGCTAATTACTCATTCTCTTCCAGGGCACCATCGATGCCCACAAACATGGTTATCTGGTGATTGAAACAAATTATCGGATATATGCCTACACTGTTTCTGAGCTCCAGATTGCACTTCTTTCTATTTTCTCAGATATAGAGGGCAGGTAACTAAAAAAATTACAATTTTTCAACCTTTTATTTAATAAAATGCTGAAATTAATATCTGTTTCCATGTCAAATGCTTTATCATGACCTCCATTAAATTGCTCGTTGCCTATTACTGCAGAAATACAGCCTCACAATTGTAATGTCTTATATTCCGGTGTTTACTCTTGCCCATGGAACTAGCTAATTATCAGTGGAAAGACGACTATAGGACACTGAAGGAATTTTTTATTTTGTTATTTTTTTTTTTTATTTTCACACTGGCCGATTCCCACCAAGGCAGGGTGGCCTGAAAAAGAAAAACTTTCACCATCATTCACTCCATCACTGTCTTGTCAGAAGGGTGCTTTACACTACAGTTTTTAAACTGTAACATTAACACCCCTCCTTCAGAGTGCAGGCACTGTACTTCCCATCTCCAGGACTCAAGTCCGGCCTGTCGGTTTCCCTGAACCCCTTCATAAATGTTACTTTGCTCACACTCCAACAGCACGTCAAGTATTAAAAACCATTTGTCTCCATTCACTCCTATCAAACACGCTCACGCATGCCTGCTGGAAGCCCAAGCCCCTTGCATACAAAACCTCCTTTACCCCCTCCCTCCAACCTTTCCTAGGCCGACCCCTACCCCGCCTTCCTTCCACTACAGACTGATACACTCTTGAAGTTATTCTGTTTCGCTCCATTCTCTCCACATGTCCGAACCACCTCAACAACCCTTCCTCAGCCCTCTGGACAACAGTTTTGGTAATCCCGCACCTCCTCCTAACTTCCAAACTACGAATTCTCTGCATTATATTCACACCACACATTGCTCTCAGACATGACATCTCCACTGCCTCCAGCCTTCTCCTCGCTGCAACATTCATCACCCATGCTTCCCCTATAATTTTTGCACTCTCTTTTGTCCCCTTTGCCTTTATACAAAGGAACTATGCATGCTCTCTGCCAATCCCTAGGTACCTTACCTTCTTCCGTACATTTATTAAATAATTGCACCAACCACTCCAAAACTATATCCCCACCTGCTTTTAACATTTCTATCTTTATCCCATCAATCCCGGCTGCCTTACCCCCTTTCATTTTACCTACTGCCTCACGAACTTCCCCCACACTCACAACTGGCTCTTCCTCACTCCTACAAGATGTTATTCCTCCTTGCCCTATACACGAAATCACAGCTTCCCTATCTTCATCAACATTTAACAATTCCTCGAAATATTCCCTCCATCTTCCCAATACCTCTAACTCTCCATTTAATAACTCTCCTCTCCTATTTTTAACTGACAAATCCATTTGTTCTCTAGGCTTCCTTAACTTGTTAATCTCACTCCAAAACTTTTTCTTATTTTCAACAAAATTTGTTGATAACATCTCACCCACTCTCTCATTTGCTCTCTTTTTTACATTGCTTCACCACTCTCTTAACTTCTCTCTTTTTCTCCATATACTCTTCCCTCCTTGCATCACTTCTACTTTGTAAAACTTCTCATATGCTAACTTTTTCTCCCTTACTACTCTCTTTACATCATCATTCCACCAATCGCTCCTCTTCCCTCCCGCACCCACCTTCCTGTAACCACAAACTTCTGCTGAACATTCCAACACTACATTTTTAAACCTACCCCATACCTCTTTGACCCCATTGCCTATGCTCTCATTAGCCCATCTATCCTCCAATAGCTGTTTATATCTTACCCTAACTGCCTCCTCTTTTAGTTTATAAACCTTCACCTCTCTCTTCCCTGATGCTTCTATTCTCCTTGTATCCCATCTACCTTTTACTCTCAGTGTAGCTACAACTAGAAAGTGATCTGATGTATCTGTGGCCCCTCTATAAACATGTACATCCTGAAGTCTACTCAACAGTCTTTTATCTACCAATACATAATCCAACAAACTACTGTCATTTCACCCTACATCATATCTTGTATACTTATTTATCCTCTTTTTCTTAAAATATGTATTACCTATAACTAAACCCCTTTCTATACAAAGTTCAATCAAAGGGCTTCCATTTTCATTTACACCTGGCACCCCAAACTTACCTACCACACCCTCTCTAAAAGTTTCTCCTACTTTAGCATTCAGGTCCCCTTCAGCAATTACTCTCTCACTTGGTTCAAAGGCTCCTATACATTCACTTAACATCTCCCAAAATCTCTCTCTCTCCTCTACATTCCTCTCTTCTCCAGGTGCATACACGCTTATTATGACCCACTTTTCGTATCCAACCTTTGCTTTAATCCACATAATTCTTGAATTTACACATTCATATTCTCTTTTCTCCTTCCATAACTGATCCTTCAACATTACTGCTACCCCTTCCTTTGCTCTAACTCTCTCAGATACTCCAGATTTAATCCCATTTATTTCCCCCCACCGAAACCCCCCTACCCCCTTCAGCTTTGTTTCACTTAGGGCCAGGACATCCAACTTCTTCTTTGTTGCTTGTACTAAATGAGGGAGCTTGCAAGGCATGAATGTGATAGCCATATACTGTATTTTTAAAGCCTAGTCTTATACAGTGTTCTTCATGTTACTGTCATTGATTTCTGAAGGTTTACAGGATGTCAAAACCTACATGTTTTAATCAATTCTGTGAAGGTGGGCGAAGTGAGCCAGGGCTTACATGTCAAGTATGAGGTCATTGTCACTCTACTCCAGATGTCACACTGCACGGCTTGACTGCCATGGGATTCAGCACCTGGGTTTTTTATATGTTAATGCCAAATATATTGCCTATTGCACATTAAGGCTTTTGAAGCTTAGAGTTTCTAAATACATTTTGTGTTCCCCTCTTCCCTTGTGGGAAGGTTGTATACACTGAGAGATGTATACGTATATACAGAGATTAATTTAATGGTTTATTTTAGGAATTAAAGTATCCTTGATTGTACAGGTTACATGACTCTTGTATAGCTGAGAGGCTTTGAACCTAATAAACCAACAAACAAATCTTCTATGTGGGGTTTAATCTGCTTCTGAGTGTTCTGATTTTTCCTAGTTTAGGTTCTGTTACATATGATTCTGTGGGATTCTGAATCCCAGCTGGCAGAAAATACTTACAGTTGACGAAGGAAGAATTTTTTTTTTTCTTTGCCACGATGGGTCTGATCTATTCCAGTTGCCTTTGAACATGATTCTCTGTGCATCAGATGACTGGTAGCTTAACAGTTTCATAGCTTGCTGGGTTATTTGACAGTATCTGGGGTTGGCCTAGTAGGATTTCTTATCTTTAACACTGATAGCTAGCTCTGTGGAATGAGTAAATACTGATTGCAGCATGAAATACAAGACTTGTACCATCATAAGGATGTATTTGTCACAGTGAGAGGAAACTTGTAATTTTGTATGAATCATGAAATTCATTGTGGCATAAAAAGTGTTGAACTTCATAAAAGATCAATAATATAAGCATGCACTTTAGAAATTGTCTGGCTCAGACTAATTCTGTATCTTCATTATATTCAGTATTTAACAAAAATGTAATGAGCCATGATAGTAATTGCATCACTTTAAAGCTTAGTAGTTAATGGAGTAAATGTAATCCTTGGGACCATTACCAGACTCACTGATTACATATTCATGGGATTATTTTTTTATTTTAATACAAAAAGTTAATTGGTGTATATACTAAACTTAAACTTGCAGATTTCCCAACATGGTGGTTGCAAGTATCTCTCGTAGCAGTGTGCGTCGGGCACTCTTGAAGGGTATTGGTGCTGAACAGATTACAAGTTTCCTGCGGCAGCATTGTCACCCCCAGATGTTCAAGAACAGTCCAGTGGTTCCACGCACTGTGGCTGACCAGGTGTGTTAATTATATTATATTCATGTAAAGTGCTAAATCAGTATGGCTCATTCAGTGCAGAGTGGTGGAGGGGCTTGAACTTTAAGTGCAAGGTACACTCCCAACTCTTCCAGCCAGGCTTCAGGTCTGTCAAAACTTTTGACCTGAATTTTAAGGATATTTGGCACAATTCATGTAAAAAAAATTTTCTTTTTGTTTTTATTTTATTAACACATCGGCTGTTTCCCACCAAGGCAGGTGGCCCAAATAAGAAAATCTTTTATAATCATTCACTCCATCACTGTCTTGCCAGAGGCATGCCTCACTACAGTTATAAAATTGCAACATTAACACCCCTCCTTCAGAGTGCAGGCACTGTACTCAAGTCCAGCCTGCCAGTTTCCCTGAATCCCTTCATAAATGTTACCTTGCTCACTCCAACAGCACGTCAAATCCTAAAAAATCATATGTCTCCATTCTCTTCTATCTAACATGCTCATGCATGCTTGCTGGAAGCTCAAGCCCCTCTCACACAAAACTGACTAAAATGCTGGGGGCAAGGGGCTGGTAACCTCTTCTCCTGTATAAATTACTATATGTAAACAAATAAAAGAAAAACTTTCATTTTTCTGTTTGGGTCACCCTGTTTTGGTCACAGACTGGACAGTGGCAGCATTGATCCCCGAAACCCTCTCCGGGTATAGGTACATGTATACCCTCTCCAGATATACCCTCCCTCGGTGGGAGATGGCTGGTGCGTTAAAAAAAAGTTTAAATAGAATTTCATGAAATGAAGATTTGCAGGAGAATTTTGCTATTCCTAAAATATAATGTAACTGTTTAAGAGATGTGAGTAGGCATAGGACACCCTACTGTGTTAGTGTTCTTTTAACCCTTAAACGGTCCAAACAAATCGACGTTCAAATTCGTAGTGCTACAAAAGCAGATCTACTTTTTTTTACATATTTTCAAATATAACGAAAAAAAAATGTAGATTAAAGTTTTTTTACACGTTTTCAAATGTAAAACAAAAAAGAAGATCTACAATGTTTTACATACTTTCAGATGTTGAAAAAACGTATATATACGTTTGGACCATTTAAGGGTTAATTTCATCTTTCCTTTCTTGATTTGAGCTTTAATTGCTTCTCTGATTTTTCTCCAGTCAGTCGCATTCCTGTTAATAACAGCCATAGCCCAGTGATGAAAGTTGCACCTCTTATCACTGAGGTCCAGTGATTGAATCCCCAGAGGAAATAGAAAAAGAAAAAGGCATAGAAATATCATTTCACTATTAAATAACTCGCAAAATCATAACAACATGACTGCAAAAACACCAGGGAATAGGTGGGGTTTGAACCCATGGCAAGTGAATCCTAAAATGGTCAATAAAAAATGGAATCCTAGTCCTAAGCGGTTCTATTAGAACAGGTAAAATAGCAGTACTGTACTCTCATAACAATAAAAAATGGCTTTAAATGAGCTGATGAAGGTAACAGCTCTTTGCTTGTCAATAAGTTAGGAATCCTTAACTTGTCAATAGGCTGTCAGTAAAGTTAGGAATCCTTAACGTAACCTTGTCAAACCCTGTGTAAAAAAAAAAACTAGGCTATTTTGCTTATTTAGAAATGCTAGACTCAGTGTCAATCAGCACAGTTTGGGCTTTGGTTTAATACACTTTTAAAGGATAGTCATTCATTCCAAAATATCTTTGCAAGATACCTTTTGTGGGTTCCAAGAGTTTTTCTACTTCACAGCCCAGCCATGGGTCAGGCTTGTGTGGTGCTTGCCTGGTCAACCAGGCTATTGCTGCTGGTAACACACTGGCAAACATATTCATTACATCCTGGTTGATTTGGCATGGTTGGTTGTACCTGATAACACACTGGCCTGCTAGTTTTTGGGACTACCTTGCCATGAATTTAAACCTCACTCCATTCAGTGAGTTGTTTACAGTCGTGTCATTACGGTAATAGTTCTTCGTTTAACTATAAGGAGAGAGTGTTTCCAGATAAATGAAGTGCCAATGTACTAACAGCTGCAAACATAGCAACAAGAATGAAGAGGATAATAATAGTCCAAAGAACCATTAAAAACAAGTTGGTTTAAGTGCGGTACTGACAACAAGAAGGTAAAGACTCGTGTAGCAGAACACGCCTTTAAAATAAGATAAGATTTGTTCAGATTTTTAACCCGGAAGGTTAGGCACGCAGGATAACCCAAAAAAGTCAGTGTGTCATTGAGAACTGTCTCTTCAATTTCTGTTGTGGTCCTTCAGTCTTGTCCTCCACATGCAACCCACACCAGGTGACTAACACCCAGGTACCTACTTACTGCTAGGTGAACAGTGATAACAAGTGTAAGGACACATGCCCAGTGTTTCCACCCATGCTGGGGATTGAACCATGGACATTCAGTGTCTGAGAAGAGAGTGAAATATTGCTATGTGTGTCTTTCTCTTCATGACTGTTTAAAATCTGAAACATAAAAGACAAATATGTGGCTGGACCAGTTTACAATTGACATGAATTCTGTTCCACTTCCTTGGGAAAGTGGAACAGAATTCTTCCTCCTTAAGCCATGCATGTCGTAAAAGGTGACTAAAATGCTGGGAGCAAGTGGCTAGTAATTCCTCTTGTATACATTACTAAATTTAAAAAGAGAAAGTGTCACTTTTCTTTTTAGGTCACCCTGCTTGGGTGGGATACAGCTAGTTTGTTAAAAAAAAAATTGAGGTAACTTGTTTGATAACATTTCTGTCCATCCTGGGCCATAAGCAAGTCAGGACTGAGAGAGAGAGAGAGAGAGAGAGAGAGAATCTGTTTATTGCTTCACTATTTATTTGTTTTAATTAAGGTAATTAAACTCACTACTGTCCTGTAATATGCTCATTTATTTTATTCCAGATTAAACTGTGGGAGCTGGAAAGAGAGCGTTTGGAGTTCAGTGAAGGTGTCCTCTACAAGGATTTTATGTCTGTTCATGACTTCTCCCTCTTATCTAACTTTGCATCCAGCAAAGGTGTTCTTATATACTCTGATGAGAAGCAGAGGACTATGGTAGTAACAAAGAAGGGACATCCTGCCATTAAGCTTTTCTGGAAAGAAGCACAAACAAAGTAATTTATTGTTAACTCTTCTTTGTTTGTCTGAAGTGATTTGTAATGTAATTTCAAGACATATTTATTATTTTGCAAAACATTTTATTTTTGTTAATACACAGTAATAATATGGATGTATTACTGTCTTTAATGTATAATTTACATGCCTAATACTGTGGTCTCTATTTATAGTAGCAGCACCTAGCAAGTCTTGCATCGAAACAATGTATGTCTCAGTCACTATACAACAACACCTAACTTATTTTAATTTATAGCCTCACACCTGATTTATATGCTTATTTAAACTTTTGTGAAAGATAAATGAGAAAAGTTTTAGTTCATCATTTATGAGAAATAAGGAAGTGTATTATTAACCCTTTCAGGGTCCGTCCCGTAGATCTACGGCTTTACGTTCATGGTCCAAACCGTAGATCTACGTCATGAGCTCAGCTCACTCTGATAAACTGTGAGTGGTACACTTGGGCCTAGATATGAGAGAATATATCTATGTGGTATGTGTGCACCACATAAAACAAATCCTGCAGCACACTGTGTATAATGAGAGAAAAAACTGAAACCAAAATTTTTGATTAAAACAGCAACTTTGCAGTGTTTTTTCGTATGTTTTTTATAGTTGTATTTGCAATTTCTTGGTCTCATTTGATAGAATGGAAGACATATTACAGAAATAGAGATGATTTTGATTGGTTTTAGCACTGGAAATGGCTTGAAACTGAGCTCAAAGTAGCGGAAATGTTAAATTTTTGCCAATGTTCAAGAGTAAACAAACGACCTCACACGTCTAATACACGCCAGCTGGTGGTTCTAATATACATTCACAAATGTGGTGATGATATTTATACAATTATTACAATATTGCATTACAGTAAATCTTCTATTTTTTGGTGTGAATAAAAATTCATTATGTGAATAAAAAATCAAAATGGGATTTATTTGTAAAGCCTCAAAACATAACTAATGAACAGAGGAAATGTTAGTTTAGTGCCAGGAATACCTACATTGTTTATTCTGGACGCTATTTTGAAATTTGAATATTTTGAACTTTGTGTTAAATTGGCCAAATTACCAATTTCCGATCATTTTATTTTGTAGTTGAAACAGTTGACTTGGCGATTTCTTGTGCTCAGTCGATAGAATAGAAGTAATACTAGTGGAATAGCTAAGAATTTGGTCGACTGGAATTATGTAAGTGGCCTAAAATGGGAGTCAAGTCGGCAAAATCGCCGATTCGTAAATATCGTTGACACATCAAAATTTGCGAGAGCATAATTTCGTCAATTTTCCATCAAATTTCGTACTTTTTGTTTTATTACCTTCACAAAAAGATTCTCTGCCATTTCATATGAAAAAATAACAAATTTTTTTTTGGAAAATTCTTGGACACTGGGGCACCACTTCAGATTTTGGCCTTGGACCCTGAAGGGGTTAAATCTTGTAAATATTTTATAATGAACCAAGCTAGCACTATCCTTCAAACACAGCATATTATAATGAAGGTTTGTATTGTTTGAGAAGGCAAGCAACTTCATTAAAATATATTTTGTTAAATTAGACACATGTGCAACTCTTGGGTATCTTTATTGAGGAAACGTTTCGCCACACAGTGGCTTCATCAGTCCATACAAAGGATAAACTTGAAGAACAGGAGGAGATTGAGGTAATCAGTCCCTCAACCTTGAGTCGATGTGGTCAGTCCATCAATCTTGATTGATGGACTGACCACATCGACTCAAGGCTAAGGAACTGATTACCTCAATCTCCTCCTGTTCTTCAAGTTTATCCTTTGTATGGACTGATGAAGCCACTGTGTGGTGAAACGTTTCCTCAATAAAGATTCCCAAGAGTTGCACATGTGTCTAATTTAACAACGTGTCGGTTCTCTGAACCATTCATCTACAAAATATATTTTGTAGTGTATGTTCAGGTGTGGGACAGTGTATATAGTATCAACCTTAATGACCCTTATGTATTCACTAGACACTACACAGATAACCTGCACATAGGCGAGATGAGCTTATGACGATATTTCAGTCCAACTTGGACCATTTGTAAATGGTACAAGTCGGACTGAAACATTGTCATAAGTTTCTCTCTCCACTGTATGGGTTATTTGTGTATTGTTCCAGTCACAGTATTGTGCCTTTTTGTTCTTTATGTCTTCACTAGGCTTTAAATCCATTAAGTCAACTACCTAAATTGAGCATTATCTATGGAGTACTACCATAATTAGCAGAGCTAGGAAGGTGGTAGTGTATAAAGAGTATACATGCTCCTTGAAGGATATTTCGGCCTAAGACTCGTCTCTTTGGATTAGCCGATGACACTCTCTCTTTTTATTGTACTGAAAGACATGGTAGTTTCTTTCTGTTAGCTTTACTTCTCAACATCTTTTATGTTGACTGGTATTGTTGACATTTATACTTTGCGTACAGTCTGACTCTTAGGGTTAGTCAATGTCATGTTTTTTATTGTCTTAGAACTTGCCCGGTGTGGAAGCCATTTGACATCCCATATTTAAAGCTTCAGCAAATTATTAATTTGATTCCTACAGGTTTGATTTCTTCTTTTACCTGATAGGCCCTCTGTCTCTCTCAATTATACCCTTTGTAATCCATAATCTTCTAATTTCTGTGCATCGGATTCTCTGCATAATATGAACACTGCATATTACTCTCAAACACAGCATTTCCACTGCCTCCAGCTTTCTCCTCGCTGCAGTGTTTAAAGCCCATGCCTCACACCCTTACAGAAGTATTGGTGCTATTGTACTCTGGTAAATTTCCCATTTTGCCTCCATGGATAAACTTCTTTCTCTACTGATGCCTTTACACACCAGACACCTTTTTTTCACCCCTCATCTTTCATAGATCTATCTGCTGACACTTTCGCTCTTAAATATCTGAATAGAATACTTTCACTACATACCCCTTCCAGAAGTGTGCTCGTACCACAGTTCAGATGACCCTCTGATTGCAACACTCCCACCCCCTCCATAGTACAAGCACTGTACTTCCCACTGCCAGGACTCAAGTTTGGCTAACCAGTTCCCTTGAAGCCCTTCATGAATGTTACCTTGCTCATACTCCAACAACACATGAAGCATTAAAACCACTTGTCTCCACTCAGTCTCATCTAACTCACACAAGCCTGTTAGATGCTCAAGCCATTTACACTCAAACCCTCCTTTACTCCTTCCTTTTAACCATTCTTGGAATGATTGCTACCTCTTTCCTTCCACCCCTCTTCATCTTCCTATGCCTTTCCTCTTTTAATTCCCAAATCGCTTCAGCATCTCAGCCCTCAGAATCATTCCCTTGGTAATCCTGCACCATCTATTTATTATTATTATTATTATTATCATCATTATTATTACAGCCATAAAGAAAATGCAGATCTGTGTCATACAGTGCTAGGGGAATGGGACAATGTCAGTTTTTTTCAAAGAGAGAACAACTCAAATTCCCTGGGCCAAGAACCCTTCACCATCAACAAGTACAGGTTTGATATTATTTTTACTTTATCACATTATGAACCCTTTATTATTTTTGCATATGTCACAAGTGTAAATGTCCCTCTCCCTTGAAACCACCATCAAAAAGACAGATGGGAGCAGAAGAGTTCGCATCCATCCAGTGTTTAATAGTTAAGGATCCTAAGCTGCTGCAGGAGAGTTCCAGGAGGCATGGCATTTCTTTTATGTCTTAGTAGCCTTGGGGGTAAGATGACCCAACAAGTAGGAAGGTTATTATGGTATAGTTGACTTGGATGGTTTGCTCTCAAGGTATAGGTCAATGACTTCTTTCTCATCTGTCTTCCAATGTCTGCATTACTTACCTTTAAGTTCAGTCAAATATTTTTAGCCTTATTTCCAAATTCTGGGAGAGTTTATGGAACACTCCTACAGTCAGTAGGCCCTCCTAAATTTATCATGTTAAATACTCTCAGGTTCTTGAGAAAAACATGATATACCCAGTTGATTTCAAGGGTTGTGCCCTTGCAACCTGACTTGGAGCCAGGCTTCTCTGATGATTACCTGTTCCACCAGGTTGTTGCTATTTAGAAGCAGATACCATGGTAAATCAGAGCTTGATTTGTCTGTCTGTGTCATTAGCTGCAAGACTCCACATTCAACTAACCTTTATTGGCTTAACACTTTCCTTAAATATAATCAAAGGTTCAACTTATTGTCTTTCAGCAACATCATGGCACTTCCCTGAATGGTGAAGGATCAGTTGAACCTCTGGGTTGTTTGTCGTAATTCCTAAGAAGACTGTAAATATAATTATTTATTTTATATTTTTATTTAATATAGCATGTTATGCAGTACCATATTATTGAACACATGCATACAACTAGGTGAGTACATGTGCGTGTGTATGCACCTTTATGTGGTTGCAGGGGTTGAGTCACAGATCCTGCATTTGTATTTTTTTTTTCTTTGGTTTATAACTAGAATTTGCCAGCCTGGCTTAATTTGCCTATTTTATACTGGTTGGTAATGACCATGTAACTACCATGTGTTTACATAAATATACATTAATATGGGTAGACAGGTGGAAAAAATATACTTGGCATTTTTTATATAAAAAACAATGGGAATAAAAAACTAGATTGTAAACAAATTTTTTATTTTATATTTTTGACATCTTATGCATAATTTAACAAAAAAAAACTATTATACAGAGCAAACTGAGAATGGTGATACATGAGAAAATAAGAAATTTATTACCATTTGTTACCATATATGTACTGTAATTACTGTACTTTTAAAGTAAGAAAATATAGTTTCACAGTTCACCAATCAACTACTTTCCTGCCAACAACTTGCAAAACCAATTTTGCAAAACCAATTTTAGGTCATGGTGCTATATAACCCATGTTTATTTAGCACTTAAAAATACGTATATATTGAAAATAATTAGGTCAGGAAAGAACTCTATTGGTTACTGTAAATGTTCTATTTCTCTGTCCAACACTTTATACTGAAATCCGCACTTCTTACTCGTTCTTGTTCCCAACTAGAGGTATAACATAAACACGGAGAGGACTTTAACTACACATTATTATACTTTGCAAAGGACAAATATTGATGCTGTTGTACACACAAGAATACAGTATATAAATAATCTTATGATTTTAAACTCTTAACCCTTAAACAGTCCAAACAGATCGATGTTCAAATTCGTAGTGCTACAAAAGTAGATTATTTTTTTTTTACATATTTTCAAATATAACAAAAAAAATAATGTAGATAAAAGTTTTTTTACACGTTTTCAAATGTAAAACAAAAAAAAAAGATCTACATTTTTTTACATACTTTCAGATGTTGAAAAAAAACGTATTTATACGTTTGGACCATTTAAGGGTTAAATAACCAGTGTCAGAAATATAACTTGTAACAGTTTTTTAAACCAGAGTCCAGCACAATACCTGCAGTAGATGAAAGCTGGGTGTGGAGCCTAGCACTCCCCCCCCACACACAAGAGCTGGGTGTGGAGCCTGGAACCCCCACACATACACCCGAGAGCTGGGTGTGGAGCCTAGAATCCCCACACATATGAAAGCTGGATGTGAAGCCTAGCAACCCCCATATACACACCCTTATGCCAGGTTATGGTGCTTTAAAAATTGTGTAGTTTGTTTTATGTATCAAATTATTAATTTAAAACAGACCAAAACATTGTCTAAAATTTCATCTCCAAATGTGGGGTAGTTGTGAATTGTTTAAGGTACAGTACTGTAGATTTAATTCTCACTGGAAGTTAATACTTGACCAATGCATTTTTGGGTAACAAACATCTAGCTGCAGAATTATGAATATAGGAGATCCTAGAACATGAGGTAAGAATGATGAATATACAATTAACTCCTTTTCCAAACAAAAAGCTCTGGCATAATGCTAGTGCTAGGTCATTAAAAACTTGCTTCACTAATACTGGCAAAAATGGTTACAAGCATGTAAAATACATAATTTTATTATACAGTGGACCCCCGGTTAACGATATTTTTTCACTCCAGAAGTATGTTCAGGTGCCAGTACTGACCGAATTTGTTCCCATAAGGAATATTGTGAAGTAGATTAGTCCATTTCAGACCCCCAAACATACACGTACAAATGCACTTACATAAATACACTTACATAATTGGTCACATGTGAAGGTAATCGTTATGCGGGGGTCCACTGTATATTTTTAAAACCATCCTGGTCAGGTACCATTAAATTAGTCTATTAATGCAATGCATAAAACCCCCAGAGTATTATGACCTCAGAACACTGCTAATACATTATTTTGATTACCCACATTATCACTATGAAGAGAGTGAGGTTTCTGCTATGTGATCAATTAATTATTGTTATTATTACTATTAGCAGCATCAATTTAAGTTCCAAATTTGAAAGTGTGACCAATGAAACTGTGGCCAGGTTACAGTACAGTATGGTCAGGTCACAGCACACTGGAGGTACCAGGAACTTGACAGGAAATTCTAACAGGCTGCACTATGTATAGAAGACTGAGAATTGAGCATTATGGAACCGAGTTGGCTAGACCAGGCCATAGTTCTTAATCACAGTGGAGTAAGCAGAGTGACTTGTAGCTCAGTGTTCAGAGCCTTGTCCTAAGGCAAGGTGAAAAGTATAGGCAAGTCTCCTTACACCTGCCCTTGATCACTTAATTGTGAATAGGTACCTGGGTGCCGACTGACTGTTGTGGGTAGTAGTACACCTTAGACTTTCAAATGGGCTCAGGTATTATAATAATAATAAAAACCTGTAATGATAAACTATAAAAAAAAATTCAAGGTTTGATCATACAGGTATTCCTCGCTGTATAGCCCTTGTGGCTTAGCGCTTCTTTTTGATTATAATAATAATACAGGTATTCCTCACTTAATGACCAAGTTCCATTTCTAAGAGTAGATTGGTAAGCGAACTGGTTGTTAAGTGAGGATCCGCCCCTTACCAATGTTTAAAGCATACTTTTCTGGTAGTGGGTTTGTGACAACCATCTTTTGATATTGTTTTAATGTCACCTCTGCACTATTTATAACATTTTTAGTATATTAAAAATAGAACTGGGCATTAAAAGCAATAAAAAGGTAAAACATACATACAGTACACTGGCTGGAGAGCTGGTTGTAAGTCCAAGCGGTTGTTAAACAGGTAGGGCGTTAAGTGAGGAGTACCTGTAGTTCTAAATCATAGAGTGCACATTATGGAGCAGAGCAGCCAAGGTTTAACTAGACACCATAATATAATAATAAAAAGAAGTACGAGATGTAATCACATAATTTTTGCTAATCTAACCTTCACTTATTCCCACTGGAATATTTACTCATTTACAGAAATAACAGTAAAATAATATATTTTACAAACCAAAAGCTTAACATTTCTAATTTCTAACAGATCAAAGTAACTTTGATGTGATCCTCCCATTCCTACAATAGCAACCCAAGCCTTAAACCTAGAGGAAAAGTTCATAGAACTAAATGCTAAATGCAGGCAAGCGGGGGACGTTCCTTAATGTTTAGGTAAACTGCAGTTATCACTCGGGCACGTTAACAATATCTCTCTTACCATTAATATTACTAACTACCAGTTAAAATTACCACAGCTAACCTTACCACTGGTACCAATACCTGTTAACATCAACCTCCACCATCGCTGAAGTTAGCAAATGGAAACAACTGCCCTGTCATGCCTGAACTGAGAAATTTCCTAAAATAGGAAAACTAAAATATTTTCCATTATCCTCATGTAAGAAAATGGAAGACAAATGCATGCACATTCTTTTAGTGAACAAATTGTGTATTATATTAAAAAGAATGAATGAGACTAATAAATGCAATGGGGTGCCTTGAGGCTGATGAAAAGCTCTTTATCCAAGGAGGTGGAGCTACCCTTCCTTTCCTTGAATCAAACTTAACTGCCTCCCATTCTCCAGGCACTGTAGGCTCCTAATGAGTTTAACATTTCCCTTGGATTAATTTAATTGTTAAACCCATAAGGGTCCCCCATAATTGCAATAATAATAATGACACTAAGATGATTGAAATCAATTGCTTGAGCATGAAGGCATCTGCTGGCAGTTCCTGTGTGTGTGGATGACAGGTGTTCTAGCAGAAATATATACGCAGTACTGTACTGTGTATATTTTCAAATATTTTTCAAAGTGAAATGCAGGTTAAATGAGTCTGCGACTATCATATCAACATATGTTATCTACTTTTTTGCTATCTGACTTTTTTTTTTGACTTACCCTAGGTATTTTACACTATGATAATTGTACTAATGTGTACCTGTGCCTAAATAAACTTACTTGCATAATGGTGACCAAATTGATTTAGTAAACAATAGTGCAAGGCTCCTGTTACTCAACAACGATGAAATATGGCTCTAAGCAGTGGTGCTAAGTTGCCTACCCCTGCCAAGGGTTGCTCAACATCTGACAGAGTAAACCCTGTTTTTAAATTTTTACCCTCAGAGTTTAACTAGGAATCTTGCTAAGAGTGCTGAATGGCTTGCACGGTCAAATTGCTCTTCCGATTTTAAAACTGTCTTACTGGAAACCTGTCATGTGATGTTTACCAAAAACTATGCACTCCTGTGGTCAATATTCGGAGGTCCTACCAACAACTCTACCTATACTGATGGTAACTGTCTCCTGTTTCATATTTAATTTTTTAAACAAAGTAATAATTATAATAGGAAACGTGATACCTGCATTCTTGCATACCAATCTTATGTAAGGAAACAAGATACCTGTGTTGTTGTATACTAGTCTTATGCATTGTTTATCAAAAATAATGATCCTGGGTTGTCTATTAGTGATGTAAAATCCTGCGTGCAGCCCATTGTCTTGTCAGTTACATTTGGCATTAAAAACAAGTAAAATTTATGTCAAGTATTAGAATGAGACACATAGCCAAGGACTGACTGCCCTGACAGTAGTCTATACAGACTATCTAATTAAAGAACAAATCCTATGTCCAACTATGCTAATACAGTACAGTGCTTCTTACTCAAATACTTTTTAACTCTAACCAACCCTATAGCCTTTGACTTGCAGTGGCTGCAGTTTTGTTTCCTGATCATATTTTGAATATGATTTGTATCTAGATCAAGCTGATACATCAGTCTCAGAAGGTATTATACCTAATTTCAGAATGAACTAAACTTTATGACAGGCTGTAATTATATAGCATACACAAGATAAATTTTAGGTTTACCAGACAAGATTAACCTAATCGTGCATGGTTATATTTGTCCAGTCCATTCCACCTATTAAGCAAGTACTGTACAATACTTATGCATGCTGCTACCAAGATATGCGGAACTTCATTATACAGCAACTTATATTTGCAGTGTGACACAAACATGAATATATGAATGATAAAAATGAGTAAATACAGTAAATGTACAAAACAATGAGGTATGACAAAGATGAGAAGTGATTATAAACATATGTCAGATGGTCAGTTAACAGATCAATTTAACTTCAGTGACTGATGCTGCTTCAGCATCTGACTCAACCTAAATTTACACTTTGAACACTTCCTACATAGAACCTCTATATAGTACTTAGTCATTCCCTCTTAGGGCTTAATTCTAATATTGTACAGCGAAAAATAGTGCAGCACTCATAACTCCTAATATTTGATTGCCGTGCATCAACCAGAAATTTGCTTACCCACAGACAATCCCAACTTTGACTTTTTCCCAATACCGAAAAAAAAAAAAAGCTCTTACATTATGTATACCACTTGCCAGGGATTTTTGTCAACTGGAAACAGCTACAGTAATGCTTTTAATCTCTTACAATGAACTCTTTCTCTATACTATTCACACTAATACTGCATTGGCCCCTTGTGAGTTACCTGACCATGATAATGTTTAGCAGGCAAAGAATTTTTTTGACTACATGTATATTGTGAACTGAATAGAATTTGCCTGTCAGTTAATTAGTGTAATACTAAGATAACCCTCTAAGAGGGGTGCCCGCTGTATAGCCCTTGTGGCTTAGCGCTTCTTTTTGATTATAATAATAATAATAATAAGAGGGGTGCCTTGGTGCTGGTGAAGGGTTCTTGATTCAAGGAACTCAAGCTACCCTCCCCTTGGATTAGACCTAAATATCTGTCCTCAGGAACTGTATGACCCCTATCGGTTTAGCACTTCCCCATGGATATCTTATTAATAATACTGTATTAAGATGAGGAATCCTGGTCAATTGTGTGGTAGAATTAAAATAGCCTTTGTTATAGTTTTGAAGATGTCAATGTTGCTAATGTATTAATACTGTATTGGTTTATAAAATTTGCAATAAGAATGCAGCAACCTCAGAGGCTATTTAAACATGAAGCAAAACTCTTTGCAGACACTTCCTTCAAGAGTGCTGCAATGCTGATGAAGGGCTCTTAATTCACAGAACTGGAGCTGCCCTCTTGCATCAAACCCGATTGCCTCCTATTTCTGCAGGTTTAGCATTTAATCATGATTATTATAATAACCTCATAGACACTAGCAGATACTTCATTATCGACGTTATATATAGTCTCTTGGAACAGTGTTTGAGCACTGCATATCTCTGAGAAATGTGTGACTGTGTGCTGGCAAAACATTTGGACCAAAAGCAATAAGTGACAGTGCATATCTGTTACATTTCTATAAACTAATATGTCAGCATTTTGTAGACTTGTGTCCCCTTTACTTGTCTCTGGATTAGGGCATCTAAAGACCAACACAACAATACAAAAAAGAGCAAAAATATTCCACCAGGAGCTTAATCAACAGCAGGTCAATTGGATGATTTCTGATGCTGCTTTGTCGTGGGTAGTTTTTCCAAGGAATATATGGGAGGGGCACTTATGCATTTTCAGTGAGTGGATCCATAGTCAAGGTCTTCTTGATCCGGAGGTCAGAATTCACCTCCCAGTCTTGGGGTCGCAGATGGTGCGCCTTTAAGATGGGACGTGTAGAAGCAATCCATTTCTGAAAAATGTGCATCAATCGTTAATTTGTTTAGTACTGCACATATAACTGATAACATAATTGGTTCTACATTAGAAAGAATAAGTCACAATGTCATGGCTGGAATAATTCACAAATAACCTATACTTTGAGATGAAATTTTAAAGAAACATTTTCATCTATCCTGGGCCATTATGTATAATACTGTCCCTCATAATAGTTTGGGACAGACCAAATCACCTGGTCTCTCTTCTCAAAAGTTTGAGTTATTTGTGAAATTGTCTTACATTACAAGGAAAAAGCAATATACACAGTAAGATATTCATCAAACAAGGCTTCTTGAGCTTTGCCTTTGTTCCATAAAATGTATTGAGAATGATATCCCTTCACTGGAGCACTAGAGTAGGCCTACTAGCCCAAGCTAGGCAGGTCCAACTCACACCCACTAGTGTATTTGTCTAACCTATTTTTAGTGCTACCCAAAGTTCTTACTTGAAACTAATCAGGAATTTGTTCCACTTGCCTACCACTCTATTGGTAAACCAGAGCTTTCCTACATCCTTTCTAAATCTAAATTTCTCCAACTTAAATCACTGCTGTGAGCCCCATCTTGGTCACACATTTTCAGTATGTTATTTATGCCTCCACTATTTATTCATGTTTCCCATTTGTACACTTCAATATCCCTCCTACTATTACATCTTTCCAGAGAGTACAAATTTAGTGTCATCAGCCTATCATCATAAGAAAGGTTTCTGATACATGGGATCATCCACATTATCCTTCTCTATTTTCCAGCATATTTATGTCCGTTCTGTAATATGGAGAACAGAACTAAGCAGCATTATTTAAATAAGCCTTAACAAGGATATATAAAATTGAAGTATAACCTGAGGCCTTTGTTATACTGTATAAACTACTTTATATGAAGGTGTGTCATGAAAACTTTGCAGCGTTGTCTTAGCTTCAGATTTCTGCTAACCAGAACTCCTAAATTATTTTTTACATTCATTGTGAGTAAGGGTTAAATTTCTTTATAAGTGCCATAGTGTTTTTTTTTTTTCATTTTTCCAGAATAAGATCCTGCCTCAGTGGGAGACGGCCGACTTGTTGAAAAAAAAAAAAAAAAAAAAGACCCTTACATTTATCCACGTTTTAACTGCACCACTTCTCTGACCACAACATCAATGTATCCATCATTCTGTAGCTCTCTAATGTCTGCCCCAGAAATTATTGAAAGGCTTATTTTAATGTTATTGGCAAACTTGCTTATGGTGCTATTTATTATCTCATCTACTGTATATTATTTATGTAGACTGTGAACATTAAAGGCCCAAGCCTGAACCTAGCGGGACACCACTTATAACAGGTCCCCCATTCTGATTTCTTTTCATTTATGCAAAACTGCCTAATAGTCAATAAGAATAATAATAATAGAGAAGGATCTGAACCAGGTATTTCTTGGGACCTACCTCCCTAAAGGTACCCGGGTACTGGAAGAACTTATATAGCATATAACCAGGAATCCATAGCAATGAACCGAACACCAGGAGCCAGCCCATAGCTTGCGCCCACACAGGATACACATATGTTTTGTTGTAGGTCAATGGAGTGTGAAACACCAGTGCAAAGATAACCATACTCTGGAAGAGAAACAACAATAATATATATGATTACCAGTGAGCAACCAAAACTTCACTGTTGCCCTTCAAGAACTGGTGAAAGGTTCTTGAACCAGGGAATGAGAATTCCCTTCTTGAATCAAACCTATTTATATCCCACCTTCCCTTTCCCTGGTGCTCTACAATCCTTATGAGTTTAGTGCTTTCCTGTGATATGAATAATAATAATAAACTGCCAATGACTCCCAATATCAATTGTCTTCCAACATATAAAACTCTCATAACTTCTACAGTGTGTGTATTTATAATCTTAAAATTAAATGAGAGAATGAATATTGCTCATACTTTTATGTGATAATTATGCAGAATAAATACATTTATCCTTGGTGGGATATGGCCGGTGTGTTGAAAGAAAGAAATACATTATTAAAAGGACAGTGCTTATGAAAGTTTGAAATGCAGTATCTTACATAACCAGAGAAAATGAAGACCTATATTTTTTTTTTTTCAACAAGTTGGTCGTTTCCCACCGAGGCAGGGTGACCCAAAAAAGAAAGAAAATCCCCAAAAAGAAAATACTTTCATCATCATTCAACACTTTCACCACACTCAAACATTATCACTACTTTTGCAGAGGTGCTCAGAATACAACAGTTTAGAAGCATATACGTATAAAGATACACAACATATCCCTCCAAACTGCCAGTATCCCAAACCCCTCCTTTAAAGTGCAGGCATTGTACTTCCCATTTCCAGGACTCAAGTCCGACTATATGAACATAACCGGTTTCCCTGAATCCCTTCACTAAATATTACCCTGCTCACACTCCAACAGATCGTCAGGTCCCAAGTATCATTCGCCTCCATTCACTCCTATCTAACACGCTCATGCACGCTTGCTGGAAGTCCAAGCCCCTAGCCCACAAAACCTCCTTTACCCCCTCTTTCCAACCCTTTCGAGGACGACCCCTACTCCTCCTTCCTTCCCCTATAGATTTATATGCTTTCCATGTCATTCTACTTTGATCCATTCTCTCTAAATGACCAAACCACCTCAACAACCCCTCTTCTGCCCTCTGACTAATGCTTTTATTAACTCCACACCTTCTCCTAATTTCCACACTCCGAATTTTCTGCATAATATTTACACCACACATTGCCCTTAGACAGGACATCTCCACTGCCTCCAACCGTCTCCTCGCTGCTGCATTTACCACCCAAGCTTCACATCCATATAAGAGTGTTGGTACTACTATACTTTCATACATTCCCTTCTTTGCCTCCACATATACCTCAACGCACCACTCACCTTTTTTCCCCTCATCAATTCTATGATTAACCTCATCCTTCATAAATCCATCCGCCGACACGTCAACTCCCAAGTACAGTGGACCCCCGGTTAACGATATTTTTTCATTCCAGAAGTATGTTCAAGTGCCAGTACTGACCGAATTTGTTCCCATAAGGAATATTGTGAAGTAGATTAGTCCATTTCAGACCCCCAAGCAAACACGTACAAACGCACTTACATAAATACACTTACATAATTGGTCGCATTTGGAGGTGATCATTAAGCGGGGGTCCACTGTATCTGAAAACATTCACTTCTTCCATACTCCTCCTCCCCAATTTGATATCCAATTTTTCTTTATCTAAATCATTTGATACCCTCATCACCTTACTCTTTTCTATGTTCACTTTCAACTTTCTACCTTTACACACATTCTCAAACTCATCCACTAACCTTTGCAATTTTTCTTTAGAATCTCCCATAAGCACAGTATCATCAGCAAAAAGTAACTGTGTCAATTCCCATTTTGAATTTGATTCCCCATAATTTAATCCCACCCCTCTCCCGAACACCCTAGCATTTACTTCTTTTACAACCCCATCTATAAATATATTAAACAACCATGGTGACATTACACATCCCTGTCTAAGACCTACTTTTACCGGGAAGTATTCTCCCTCTCTTCTACACACCCTAACCTGAGCCTCACTATCCTCATAAAAGCTCTTTACAGCATTTAGTAACTTACCACCTATTCCATATACTTGCAACATCTGCCACATTGCTCCTCTATCCACTCTATCATATGCCTTTTCTAAATCCATAAATGCAATAAAAACTTCCCTACCTTTATCTAAATACTGTTCACATATATGCTTCAATGTAAACACTTGATCTACACATCCCCTACCCACTCTGAAGCCTCCCTGCTCATCCACAATCCTACATTCTGTCTTAACTCTAATTCTTTCAGTTATAACCCTACCGTATACTTTTCCTGGTATACTCAGTAAACTTATTCCTCTATAATTTTTACAATCTCTTTTGTCCCCTTTCCCTTTATATAAAGGGACTATACATGCTCTCCGTCAATCCCTAGGTACCTTCCCCTCTTTCATACATTTATTTAACAAAAGTACCAACCACTCCAACACTATATCCCCCCCTGCTTTTAACATTTCTGTCATGATCCCATCAGTTCCAGCTGCTTTACCCCCTTTCATTCTATGTAATGCCTCACGTATCTCCACCACACTTACATTCTGCTCTTCTTCACTCCTAAAAGATGGTATACCTCCCTGGCCAGTGCATGAAATTACCACCTCCCTTTCTTCCTCAACATTTAAAAGTTCCTCAAAATATTCTCGCCATCTACCTAATACCTCCCTCTCCCCATCTACTAACTCCCCTACTCTGTTTTTAACTGACAAATCCATACTTTCCCTAGGCTTTCTTAACTTGTTTAACTCACTCCAAAATTTTTTCTTATTTTCATTAAAATTTCTTGACAGTGCCTCTCCCACTCTTTCATCTGCTCTCCTTTTGCACTCTCTCACCACTCTCTTCACCTTTCTTTTACTCTCCATATACTCTGCTCTTCTTATAACACTCCTGCTTTGTAAAAACCTCTCGTAAGCTACCTTTTTCTCTTTTATCACACCCTTTACTTCATCATTCCACCAATCACTCCTCTTTCCTCCTGCCCCCACCCTCCTATAACCACAAACTTCTGCCCCACATTCTAATACTGCATTTTTAAAACTATTCCAACCCTCTTCAACCCCCCCACTACTCATCTTTGCACTAGCCCACCTTTCTGCCAATAGTCGCTTATATTTCGCCGGAACTTCCTCCTCTCTTAGTTTATACACTTTCACCTCCCTCTTACTTGTTGTTGCCACCTTCCTCTTTTCCCGTCTACCTCTTACTCTAACTGTAGCTACAACTAAATAATGATCCGATATATCATTTTGCCCCTCTAAAAAACAATGTACATCCTGGAGCCTACCCATCACCTTTTTATCCACCAATACTAATCTAACAAACTACTTTCATTACGTGCTACATCATACCTTGATAATTTATTTATCCTCTTTTTCAAAAATATGTATTACTTATTACCAAATTTCTTTCTACACATAGCTCAATTAAAGGCTCCCCATTTACATTTACCCCTGGCATCCCAAATTTTAACCTACTACTCCCTCTAACATTTTTACCCACTTAGCATTGAAATCCCCAACCACCATTACTCTCACACTTGATTCAAAACTCCCCACGCATCTCACTAAACATTTCCCAGAATCTCTCTCTCTCCTCTACACTTCTCTCTTCTCCAGTGAAATACACGCTACTATAACCCACTTTTTCACATCCAATCTTTATTTTACTCCACATAATACCTTGAATTTATACATTTGTAGTCCCTCTTTTCCTGCCATAGCTTTCCTTCAAAATTATTGCTACTCCTTCTTTAGCTCTAACCCCTATTTGAAACCCCTAACCTAATCCCATTTATTCCTCTCCATTGAAACTCTCCCACCCCCTTCACTTTGTTTCACTTAACCCTTTCAGGGTCCGTCCCGTAGATCTTTCGGCTTTACGTTCAGGGTCCCAAACCGTAGCCTCTACGTCATGAGCTCAGCTCACTCTGATAAACTGTGAGTGGTAAATTTGGGCCTAGATATGAGAGAATACATCTATTGGTATATGGGACCCATAAAACAAATCCGCAGCACACTGTGTATAATGGAGAAAAAAAAACTGAGACCATGATTTTCGATTAAAACAGGGACTTTGCAGTGTTTTTTCGTATGTTTTTTATAGTTGTATTTGTGATTTCTTGGTCTCATTTGATAGAATGGAAGACATATTACAGAAATAGAGATAATTTTGATTGATGTTAGCACTGGAAATAGCTTGAAACTGAGTTCAAAGTGGCGGAAATGTTAAATTTTTGCCTATGTTCAAGAGTAAACAAACGACCTCACACGTCTAATACACGCCAGCTGGTGGGTCTAATATGCATTCACAAATGTGGTGATGATATTTATACAATTATTACAATATTGCATAACAGTAAATCTTCTATTTTTTTGGTGTGAATAAAAATTCATTATGTGAATAAAAAATCAAAACGGAATTTATTTGTAAACCCTCAAAACATAACTAATGAACAGAGTTAATGTTAGTTTAGTGCCAGGAATACCTACATTGTTTATTCTGGACCCTATTTGAAATGGAATATTTTGAACTTTGTGTTAAATTGGCCAAATTACCAATTTCCGGTCACTTTATTTTGTAGTTGAAACAGTTGACTTGGTGATTTCTTGTGCTCAATCGATAGAATAGAAGTAATACTAGTGAAATAGCTAAGAATTTGGTCGACTGGAATAATGTAATTGGCCTAAAATGGGAGTCAAAGTCGGCAAAATCGCCGATTCGTAAATATCGCTGACACATCAAAATTCACGAGAGCATAATTTCGTCAGTTTTCCATCAAATTTCGTACTTTTTGTTTTATTACATTCACAAAAAGATTCTCTACCATTTCATAAGAAAAAAAGAAAAAAATTTTTTTTTTAAATTCTTGGACACTGGGGCACCACTTCAGATTTTGGCCTTGGACCCTGAAAGGGTTAAAGCCAGGACATCCAGTTTCTTCTCATTCATAACATCCACAATCATCTCTTTCTTATCATTTGCACAACATCCACGCACATTCAGACTTCCCACTTTGACAATTTTCTTCTTCTTATTCTTTTTAGTAATCTTTACAGGAAAAGGGGTTACTAGCCCATTGTTCCCGGCATTTTAGTTGACTTTTACAACACGCATGGCTTACGGAGGAAAGATTCTTATTCCACTTCCCCACGGATATAAAAGGAAAAGTAATAAGACCAAGAACTATTAAGATAAAATCAAAGAAAACTCAGATGAGTGTGTATAAATAAACGTGTACATGTACATGTACCTATATATTGGACTGAAACACTCAAAGCAGGCCTCTACAGGCTTAACACTTTCCCTTGATTATAATAATAGTAATAATAGTTAATAATAATAATAATAATAATAGCACTTAGTTCTGATTATAATGATAATAAGATGTAGCCTTTGATCACATACAATGACATTCATGATGGTAATTTTCTTGCTTCTTGGTTTCTAGCATAAAAATACTTAATAAATTTCACTTGTAGGTTATTATAGCTGTATGGTATTTACTCTGGCATTCTATGACCCATACAAGTTTAGCACTTCCTTACCACTGTATGATCCAAGTGTATTGAACACTTTCTTGTGAAAATAACAGCTCTTTGCAAATAATTACTTCTTCTGCCCCCCCCCCCCCCAAAAAAAAAAAATCCTAAATCCACATGGGGCATTCATTGCTGCTTTATTATAAAAATTAATTTACATAGATGGCACTAGTGGCATACTGACCAGGGTGAGAAGCGGAGTGATGAACCGCCAGCAAATAGTGAAGAAGGGATTGATGGCATGGCCCAGCATCATGGCAACATTGTCTGAGAAGCGCTTGGCACCGTACACCCAGGCGATGACAATACACTCAAAGAAGCAGATGCTCAACAAAATGATGCCACTTGCAGAATAGGAATCAAAGATTTGGAAAACATACATTCCACCCTGTAGTATATACAGACACATGTCACAAATCTCATTAAAATTGAGTCTCAAAACAAATTAAAAAAAAAAAAAAAAAAAAAAAAAAAAGCTTTGAAATGTTTTAAAATTGCTAGGAATCCTTTTTCAGTGCAAAATTTAAGAGAATAATGACATGTATGTATGTATGTATGTATATATATGTCGTGCCAAATATGTAAAACTGGTCAATTAGCAAGAACTCATTTAAAATTAAGTCCTTTCTGAAATTTTCTCTTATACGTTAAAAGATATATTTTCTTCATTAATGTTGATGTAAAAATTTATAATTTTGCACCAAAAGAATCTTAGAAAACTTACCTAACCTTATTATAACAAGAACAATTTATTTTAGCCTAACCCAACTAAATATATTTTAGATTTGTTTACAATAATTTAATATTAAACAAACACAGTGAAATATATTTTTTTCGTTAGGTTCAGAATGATTTTGGCGAAATTATTGCATACACAAATTTTCGCTTGTTCTATATGGCAAGATGGATTAATTGTATTTATATTATTTCTTATGGGGAAAATTGATTCGCAAATCGTAAATTTCGTTTATAGTAGCTCCTCCAGGAACGGATTAATTATGAAAAACGAGGGACCACTGTGTGTGTGTATATATATATATATATATATATATATATATTACACACACACACACATACACACACACACACACACACACAGTGGTCCCTCGTTTTTCGTAATTAATCCGTTCCTGGAGGAGCTACTATAAACGAAATTTACAATTTGCGAATCAATTTTCCCCATAAGAAATAATGTAAATACAATTAATCCATTCCTGACACCCAGAAGTATTAAAACAAAACAAAATTTTAACATGAAATATACATGTAGTACATAAACAATACAATGGGAAATGATGAATGAAACATTAACAGCATAACACTTACCTTTATTGGAGATTCTTCTTAGTGTATGGGAGACTGGAGGAGGAGAGAGAGTGGATTGTTTATAGTTTGGAAGGGGAATCCCCTTCCAGCAACATCTCAGGTACCAATTGCTTCTCTGGGGTTGCTTCTCTTCTCTGTTTCTTAATGCCACTAGGACCACCTTGAGAGTCACTCTAGTCCTGTCTCGCAAAGTAACTGTGGAGAGAGCTCTGTTTCTGGCGTCTCTTTAACACTTCCCTAAAATGGCCCAAGACTTTGCCACTGTACATGTTGCCAACCTGGCTTGCAACAACATTGTTTGGGTGATGTTTCTCCATAAAGCTTTCCATCTTACCCCACATAGTAAAAATCTCTTTAATTTCTGAAGGCACCTTCTTCCATCTCTCTTCCTCCTCTTCTGCAGCAAGATTCTGAGCTGCGATGTGTTGCTCTTCCTGCTGAAGCTCTTGCAGCTCCTCAGTGGTGAGCTCTTCATTGTGGTCTTCCACCAATTCTTCCACATCCTCCAAACTCACATCCAACCCCATGGAACTCCCCAGTGCCACAATTGATTTTACAACAAACATAGGCTCATTAGGGTCACTCCCAAATTCTTCAAAATCCCTCTTGTCGACACAATCTGACCCATGCTTTACTATTAGATTTCCAAAACACACACAATTTACTTTTCATAACATTGTTTTTCCTGAACACTCTGGGATTTTCAGAATGGTACACTAGCAATGGCTTCACTTTGAAATCCCCACTAGCATTAGCACAGAACATTAGCGTCAGCCTGTCTTTCATAGGCTTGTGTCCTGGCACTGCCTTTTCCTCTTGTGTAATGAAGGTCCTCTTTGGCATTTTCTTCCAAAAGAGGCCTGTTTCGTCACAATTGAACACTTGTTCAGGTTTCAGTCCTTCAGCCTCTATGTACTCCTGGAATTCATGCACATATTTTTCAGCCGCCTTGTGGTTCGAACTGGCAGCCTCACCATGCCTTACCACACTGTGTATGCCAGTACGGTTCTTAAATCTCTCAAACCAGCCTTTGCTGGCCTTAAATTCACTCACTTCACCACTATTTGCAGGCAATTTCTTTACCAAATCTTCATGTAACTGCCTAGCCTTTTCACAAATAAACGAAGTCATAAGAGTATCTCCTGCTAATTGTTTCTCATTTATCCACACCAATAATAACTTCTCAACCTCTTCCAGTACTGGTGATCTCATTTTTGTCAGCATAGTTACTCCCTTTGCAACAACAGCATCCTTTATTTCATTTTTCTTGGCCACTATGGAACATAAGGTTGTGTAGGGTTTCTTATACATCCTGGACAGTTCGGCCACACTTGTACCAATTTCATATTGTTCAATGATGGTTTTCTTAAATTCAATCGTATTTCTCACCTTCTTTACCACAGGCTTGGCACTAGGAGCTTTCTTTGGAGCCATGGTAGCTTATTTAGTACTTGCAAGCACTAAAATAAATGGAATATTATGAAATATTTCGCTGGAGCACGTGAGGGGACCTTCGCTCACTTGTAAACAATGCCAGACTGGCTGCCGCCCTGGCTCACGCCGTGGGTATGCGTCCCGGACGAACTACGACTCGCGAGTCAACCTATGAAAAGCGAGCCCATGTTTATACGCAAATACCCCTATGATTGGCGAATTTTACGATTGCCGGGAACTACGAAAAGCGGGGGACCACTGTTGAAAAAAAGAAAATAATATATATATATATATATATATATATATTATATATATATATATATATATATATATATATATATATATATATATATATATATATATATATATATATATACAGTGGACCCCCGCATAATGATTACCTCCGAATGCGACCAATTATGTAAGTGTATTTATGTAAGTGCGTTTGTACGTGTATGTTTGGGGGTCTGAAATGGACTAATCTACTTCACAATATTTCTTATGGGAACAAATTCGGTCAGTACTGGCACCTGAACATACTTCTGGAGTGAAAAAATATCGTTAACCGGGGGTCCACTGTATATATATGTATGTATATATATATATGTATATATATGTATATATATATATATATATATATATATATATATATATATATATATATATATATATATATATATATATATATATATATATATATATATATAATCATTACACTCTAGAAAGAATAATCCCATACAGAAAGGTGCCTCAATATGTGTAAAGCCTCCTTGATTCAAAGGATTTGAGTTACCTTCCTCTTTTTTGTACAGTGGACCCTCAACCAGCGATATTAATCCGTTCCTGAGAGCTCATCGTTAATTGAAATAATCGTTAGTCAAGTTAATTTTCCCCATAAGAAATAATGGAAATCAAATTAATCCGTGCAAGACACCCCAAAGTATTGAAAAAAAATTTTTACCACATGAAATATTAATTTTAATACACACAAATTGAAGAAGACATGCACAGTTACATGACACTTACCTTTATTGAAGATCTGGTGATGACTGATGGGATGGGAGGAGGGGAGACCGTTGATCTTCTTAGTGTTTAGAAGGGGAATCCCCTTCCATTAGCACTTGAGGTAGCAAGTCTTTTTCTGGGGTTACTTCCCTTGTTCTTTTAATGCCACTAGGACCAGCTTCAGAGTCACTGGACTTCTGTCGCACAACATATCTGTCCATAGATACCTGTACCTCTCGTTCCTTTATGACTTTCCTAAAGTGGTTCACAACATTGTCAGTGTACAGGTTGCCAACACGGCTTGCAGTAACTGTGTCAGGGTGATTTTCATCAAAAAAGGTTTGCACTTCAAGCCACTTTGCACACATTTATTTAATCTTAGAAGTAGGCAACTTCTTCAATTTCTCTATCCCCTCCTCCGAAGCAGTTTTCTCAGGTCTGCCCTCTTGCTGTTCAAGATGATCTAGCAGCTCATCAGTGGTTAGTTCTTCATTGTCCTCCTCCACCAGCTCTTCCACATCCTCCCCACTAACCTCCAACTCCAAGGACTTCCCCAATGCCACAATGGATTCCTCAACTGGCATAGGATTCTCAGGGTTAGCCTCAAACCCTCAACAATCCCTTTTGTCTACACATTCTGGCCGCAGTTTTTTCCAAGCAGAGTTCAAGGTCCTCTTAGTCACTTCCTCCCAAGCCTTACCTATAATGTTTACACAATTGAGGATGGTAAAATGATCTTTCCAAAACTCTTAGAGTCAGTTGAGTTTCTGAGGTCACTACAAAGCACCTTTCAAACAAAGCTTTTGTGTACAGTTTCTTGAAGTTGGAAATGACCTGCTGGTCCATGGGCTGCAGGAGAGGAGTGGTATTAGGAGGCAAAAACTTCACCTTAATGAAGCTCATGTCCCTAGACAGTCGCTCTGCCAAGTCTGAAGGATGACCAGGAGCACTGTCTAATACCAGGAGGCACTTAAGGTCTAATTTCTTTTCAATTAGGTAATTTTTCACATTGGGGGCAAATGCATGGTGTAACCAGTCATAGAAAAAGTCCCTAGTGACCCATGCCTTACTGTCTGCCCTCCACAGCGCACACAAATTAGCCTCGACGACATTGTTTTTCCTGAACACTCTGGGAGTTTCAGAGTGATACACCAATAAAGGCTTCACTTTGCAATCACCACTAGCATTGGCACACATCAACAGAGTAAGCCTGTCTTTCATAGGCTTATGTCCTGGGAGTGCCTTTTCCTCCTGAGTAATGTAGGTCCTGCTTGGCATTTTCTTCCAACACAGGCCTGTTTCGTCACAATTAAACACTTGTTCAGGTTTCAGTCCTTCACTGTCTGTGTACTCCTTGAATTCCTGCACATATTTTTCAGCCGCTTTGTGGTCCGAACTGGCAGCCTCACCATGCCTTATCACACTATGAATGCCACTACGCTTCTTAAATCTCTCAAACCAACCTTTGCTGGCCTTAAATTCACTCACATCACTAGTTGCTGGCATTTTTTTAATTAAATCGTCATGCAATTTCCTAGCCTTTTCACATATGATCGCTTGAGATGCTATCTCCTGCTATCTGTTTCTCGTTCATCCACACCAATAAGTCTCTCAACATCTTCTACCGCTTGCGATCTCAGTTTCGAAAACATAGTTGCACCTTTGGCAAGAACAGCTTCCTTGATTGCCATTTTCTTGCCCACAATAGTAGCGATGGTTGATTGGGGTTTATTATACAACCTGACCAGCTCAGAGACACGCACTCCACTTTCATACTTAGCAAGGATCTCTTTCTTCATCTCCATAGTAATTCTCACCCTTTTTGCTGTAGGGTTGGCACTAGAAGCTTTCTTGGGGCCCATAGTGACTTATTTTGCAGGTGCAATCACTACAAAGGCTGTGATAATATGAAATGTTCCAGTTGTATGTTTGGAAGCGACCGTGGTGGCTGGCTTGTAAACACTGGCACCCACGGGACAAGTAAGGCGCGCTCAGGCCAAAGTGGATGCGTCTCGTATGGAACGAATAGCGCTGGTCGGGTTTTTAAGTGCTAGTCAAGGCAAAATTTTTGCGTTAAAATGTATCGCTAGTCAGATTTATCGTTAATCAATGCCATCGCTGGTTGAGGGTCCACTGTATCTAACCTGATTACTTCTCATTTCCCAAGTACAGGAGAGCCCCTGTTTATGCAGCAGGTTAGGTTTTAGACTACTGCTGTAAAGCAAAAATTGCTGTGCAGTGAAACAGCCTTTTTTCCACTTTCAAATGCATATAAAACCCTAATAACATGTTTACACTACAGGTTGGCCATCACTAATCCGGCATCATTGGGACCTGTAGTGTGCCGGATTATAGAGTTTGCTGGATTACAGAGTGGTTAGGTTAGAATACACTTAATTAACCAATCAATAGAGACCAATCTATAGAGACTCATTTTCATCACTGCTTTCTCCTCCACTGGCTTGCTGCTGTGGATTTACAACCATCTGCACAATTTCTGAATCAGTATAATGATGAAATTTGAGTCGGTATAATGATGAAATTTGAAATTACGCTATCTGAAATTAGTGCCGGATTACTGATGGAACCGGATAACTCACTGCCGGATTAGTGATGGCCGACCTGTATTATATATTAAGTGAGCAATATAAGTAGGCCTAAAAAATGTATATACAGTACAAATTACTTACCTTAAAACATTTTCATCCTTAGCTTATAGTGAGTGGTGACAACATTTATTGTAGGCAGCCCGAATAAATGAAGAATGGACATAACTGAAAACCACTGCACAGTACATTAGTGAAATTCTGTAAAGCAGGGGCCCCTGTATTATGAGCCCAAAGGGGCTTGTCCCTTGCAATGAATGTAATAAAAATTAATCATTCTGTTCATTCATTTTTAATCATAACACATACCTGAGTGACCATAGTGCAGCCAATTGCAAAATCCAAGAGACAAACAACTCCCACTAGGACCTCACGTCGACTTCCCACACGAAGGTACTCGGGGAACAAATCAACGATGGCAGTGATGACAGACTCCACCTACAGGATGTCCACAAGAACATAATTGTTGAAAGAAAATATGTATAGCACAAGATCACCTATGGTATAAACCTTGGTAATAGATACAGATAAATTGTTTTAGAAAGAAACGTTATCAAACACTAGGATACACTTACTGGAAAATGTTTCGGTCCTAGGACCTTGATCACTTCTAACACACCAGAGATTAAATGTGTGTCAGAAGTGATCAAGGTCCCAGGACTGAAATGTTTTCTAATAAATATAACCTACTGTTTGCTCACATGTCTTTCTAAACCAAGATCACTTATTGTTACAATGTTTCACCTACAGAGGGTGAAGGTGTAAAGCTGATCAGATGAGACATTCTTCTGTGTTTGCTCAAAATCCAAAGATTCTAAGATTATTAACTATGTTAGAAAATTGACATTTGTATCTATAAAGCCTAAACTTCCAGGGATCCATGTTGATAAGATAAATGCAACATCTGGGTATCTGTTTAAGACATATCACCAACCATGGGCTCTATCATTCTAATATGGGGATATGAGAAAAATGTAAATGGAGGAACCAGAGAGGAGGCAGCAGTAAAAATAGATATCTGTACTTGCCTATATGTGGTTGCTCCTGGTCCTATCTCTTGACTTACTGCCTGCCAAATTCACTCTTAGCCTTGTGGGCCCTGTCATACCTATTCTTAAAACTGTGTGTGTAGTCTGCCTTCACCACTTCTTCATGGAGGTCATTCCGCTTTCTGATCACCCTGAGACTGGAGAAATACATCCCTGACTCACTCGTGTCTTTAACCTCAAGCTGTGCCCCTTGAGTACCCATTTCCAGCCTCTCAAACAGCCTGTTCCTGTCTACCCTATCAATTCCTTAGAGTATTTTGTATGTCATGGGTTACATCCAGTACCTACAGAACTGTCATACATAAAACCCTTTAAGGAATGTGGGTAAAGTGCTTTTAATCCAAGGGATTGAAACTACCCTTCCTTTCCTTGTATGAGACTTGGTTACCTCCTATTTCCCAGGCACTACAGAGTCCCTACAGGTTTAGTACATCCCCTTAAATATAATAATTACAACTGTTGGAGTGTAAGCAAGGTAACATTTATGAAGGGATTCAGGGAAACTGGCAGGGCAGACTTGAGTCCTGGAGATGGGAAGTACAGTGTCTGCACTCTGAAGGAGGGGTGTTAACGTTGCAGTTTTATAACTGTAGTGTAAATGCATCTCTGGCAAGACAGTGATGGAGTGAATGATGATGAAAGTTTTTCTTTTTTGGGCCACCCTGCTTTGGTGGGAGATGGCTGATGTGTTAAAAAAAAAAAACTGGGAATGAGAAACAGAAATGTGCAATTAATGTACAATATTACATTATGGGATGACTAAAAAGTAATCGTAAAAGTACTGACCTGGACGAACTGAGAGTCGAGTCCAACCATAAGAATCATACAGAAGAAGAGTGCAGACCACAGGGGAGCAAGAGGCATGGCTGCCATGGCCTTGGGGTATGCAATGAAAGCTAAACCAGGACCTGCAACAAAATAGTTGTCAGTGGCTATTGTTGTTCTGTTTGGTATATTTCAATGCAAGTTCTAGTATTGTATCACTTATTCTTGTATGCATTTGTGCCTTTACTGTAGTTCTTTCACATAAGTCAGGCTGGTGAAGAGTTCGTGATCAAAGGAACTGGAGTCACCTTTTCCTTCCTTGAATCAAACATGATCATCTCTCATTCCCTAGGCACTGCTGTCAGTAATGGGTTCCTTATTTAATGACCTTCCCAGTCCAGGCATTTTGAATCTTACCAACAATGTTACTTATGAGTTTATCCCCTCTGTGCATATATAGGACATTTAAATGCCCACTCTCATTATTTCTAACAAGGCAGGCCTCCAGGACCCCTGACCTACTTCCCACTCATTAGTTTCTGCAACAATTAAACTATGAAACTCCTCTGTGGGTTTATTTACTCCAACCAAAAATTGATAAAAAAAAAAGACCCATCATACTGTATGATCTCTAAGAGTTTACTACTGTCTCATATATAATAATATACATATAATATTGATTACTAGGGGAAGGTAGTGGAAAAATAGTATGCTTAAGGAGCACATACCAGCCTCAGCAACTTGTTCCATGGGAAGCTCCAATTGGTAGCTCATGAAACCAAGGATACTGAAGATGCCAAACCCAGCAAAGAATGATGTGCCAGAATTACATGCACACAAGATGGCACACTGCTTCACAAAGTTGTTGTTGAACTTGTTGTAGGAGCCGAGAGCGATCATGCCACCTAGAGCCACTGCGTACGAGTAGAAGACCTGTGTTCCGGCGTCGTTCCACACCTGCCGAATAAAAACACTCATTGGACTACCTGTTCTGAAGGCTAAGTGACCTGTGGACGACACATCCACATGCCATATGACCAGTTTTTCAAGTTCAGTATGACATATTTCAATGTCCCATTTTTGTGTTCTTCGAAAGTCAAAGACCAAGATGACAAAACAAAGTAATGCTTTATACTTGGCCGGGGGTTTTGTTCATGAGAGCAGACATCATGAAGTCATCTCACAGAATTAGCATGGCAGCTAGTCCTCAACTGAGCTGCTCCCCCACCTCCCCAGTCCTTGAGTCACCCATCTGACAACTTTATCATTCACTTCAGTCGTTCAGTGTTATTTTGACTCCTCCCTTCAAACAGGGTGCCATAATGCTGGTCTAGGTCTCTTGATCTGAGGTATTGGAGCCACCCTCTCCTTCCTCAAATCAAGCTTGCTTACTTCCCACTTCCAGGTGATATATGATCCTTACAGATTTAGTGCTTCCCAGAAATATAATAATAATTCTGTAGCTTGCGTATTAACATACATATCATTAGCCAGTGCCTATTATTGATGGGAGGCTGGGGTGAGTGGTCAACCTCCTCACATGATTAAACACCCAACCATTGCTTGTACTAAATGGCCCATATGGGTTTAGCTCTTCATTATTAAAATGAAATATACCTTTGAACATACTGTATTATTACTATCAGACTGGGTCTTTCCCTAAATGCTAAGCACAATGTGGGTTTTATGAAATGTTACTATCTATGTTGTGCTTGCATATGTCTAATTTTTTTGCAAATAAATACATCGTCTGAATTTAAACCAGCCTGGCCAGCATGGGCTTAGTTTTGCAGTGCTGAAGTGGCCTCAGCCAATTATGTGACTGAGGAATGACTCAGGTACACCAAAGCTGCCAGATGAGGAAGATGCTAATAAGGACCAGGGAAAGTGGTGAGCTGGCTATCTTTCAGGGAAAAGATGAACATCAGCCAAATGCTCTATAGTATAGTTGACTTGTGTCAGGAAGTGTCAGTTATGGGAGCTGGAAGCTGACTCATAGCATTCACTAAGAGCTGGTGTAAGGTGTCCACTCACAGCTGGGAGCTGATGAGCGATACTCAACTGAGTTGATGCATGGAGTCCCCTCACAGTTTCCATGGTAGTTATCATGACAAATTATTAAAAACAATAACTCCAACTGACATTCCTGTGACAGAGTCTGTCATGCGACTGACATTCCTGCGACACACAGTCTGTCATGCCGCACAAGTTCGTGTGTCACTCTCCCCCCCGTCGACCGGGAATTGTTATTATGTCGATCAGACTGAGGCATTAATATCTGGACGAAGACAAAGCCACATTTCGTCCCGAGTTGAGCAGCTCAGAACACAGCTGCTCCAGGAACCTGTAACTTGCACGTGCTGCGTAACATTTCTCAAACCAATAAAGTAACTTCAGTGCACGAACATCATGAGTACAAATTTGCAATGAGTAGCGAGCAATGAAACATGTGATAGTCAAAGGTGTTGGGGAGGAGACTGGTGATTGAGCAAGATACGACGTACCTGGTATCAGACGAACGAAGACTCAAGTCGGCAACAGCCTGCAATCCGCGACCCAGTAGCATTGGCCCTGAAAACACTGATTATTACCTGATAGTCGAGGATTTTCTCCCATTTAGGTTCGAGGTAGAATCGAATACCCTCAGCAGCCCCAGGCAGCGTCGCCCCACGGACCAGCAGAGCCGTTAGCATCACATACGGGAAAGTAGCTGTAAGTATGTCTCTTTAGTACAGCATCATCAAATCAAATCACTTCTGAAATATAATGCTGATTAATAAAGAGTGCCGGTCACTCTTGTCTTGGGGGCGTTGTTTGCGATTAATGGCAACTATTTCACATATGCCAAGTATAGCAAACGGGGAGGAAGTGATTGGCTGTTGATGATGTCCGTGCGACTCTCGAGTGTAGAGAGAACATAAGGGTGCTCATTTGTCAAAGCTTACCTGTGAAATACATGATCTTGCCAGTAACCTTCACTCCCTTCCATATGGCAAAGTAGGTGCACACCCACGAGAAGAGGAGAGTGCCAAACAGGGGCCAGACCATCTCACCAAGGATCTCTACCCCATCACTGATCTGTAGCACACGGTTGCTGAAGAACACAACAAAGTTTAGTCCTTGGTCACCCACAAAAAAATTATTAATTATCAGCAGTCACTTTTGTAAAAAATAAACTTCTGTTAAACTACACCTGTAGTATTTAAGAATAATATATAAATATTTGTTTTCTATCAGTACGGAATATAATATTCTGACAAAAAGTTTGAATAACTGAGTACAGTGGACCCCCGGTTAACGATATTTTTTCACTCCAGAACTATGTTCAGGTGCCAGTACTGACCGAATTTGTTCCCATAAGAAATATTGTGAAGTAGATTAGTCCATTTCAGACCCCCAAACATACACGTACAAACGCACTTACTTAAATACACTTACATAATTGGTCGCATTCGGAGGTAATCGTTATGCGGGGGTCCACTGTATTGTACTGTATAAGATTCCAATTATATTATTCATTAGATAAAAATAAGTGGGAGAAGACTCACTCCCAGAACTCCACCACAGAGTCAACAGGTGTGATGTTGTTAGACTTGAGGTCTTGGATAAGTGAATGGTTAGTGACACCTGCAAACGACACACACGAACCTGTGTTCCACCTGAAAAAGGAAAGCTAAATAGCAAGAAATTTTATAAATAAAATGTAGTGGCTCATAGAAGACTACAAATGATACACCATTGTAGAGGACATGCAACTGATCTTTTTCATAACCCTGCAGCTGTCAATAGCATTGTTTCTCTCCTAAACCCTGCTGCTGCTGGCAATACTAGTCCTTGCCTAGATTCTGCATCAGCCCTTTTACAAATTTTCAGTGAGACCCCATAATTATTCCTCAACACCTCTGACTGACTGTTCTACCATCAGTGACCCAAGACAAATAGTTGTTGTTGTTGTTGTTGTTGTTCCCAGTGACCCCAAAGTGTGGCTGCTGGTCACAACAACCCAAGATGTAGCTGTTGATTGCAATGATCTAAGACATACACCTACTGGTCCACAACAACCCAAGACATTTAGGTGTTGGATGCAGCAACCAATCTAGCTTACTGTCTGCCTCACTTTGCCTTTTCTGCATCTTATGCCTTTTCTGAATCTTCTTTTACCAGGTGTATCCCAAGCAAGCCAGACGGACTCTCACTTCTGATGCCTATAAAGAAAGTAGCCATAATCTTCTACTGAAATACCAATACTTTAAGGCTTAGCTGTAATGCCTTCAGCTCACAAGTAAAGGACCCGAGTTTGGTTCTGGGACAGGTGGAAGTGTAGGGCATGTTTCATTACACTTGGTGCCCCTGTTCATCTACCAGGTGATAGCTAGCTGTTGTAGATAGCATCATTAAGGATGGTATACATAATACATAAAAAATAAGGCTAAGTTGTAAAATGAGCTGAGGCAAGATAACAGCTCTTAGCCTGTTCATGAGCTGAGGTAAGATAACAGCTCTTAGCCTGTAAATGTGCTGAGATAAGATGACAGCTCTTAGCCTGTAAATGAGCCTAGCTAGGATAATAACTCTTAGCCAGTAGATTAAATAGCATATTGTAAAAAACCACTTACCAATTGCCACATGAGGTCCAGGGCAGCTCACCCTGGAAGGAGAGGATAAAGTAGTATAGGGCCCAGGCAATGATGACAATATAGTAGACATTCAGCCAGTTACACACCACGATAGCTGCAAACCCGATACCTGCGAATACAATAAATTATTATTATTACTACAATCAAAACTAAGCACTAAACCCACAAGGGTCATATGGGTGAATACAATAAAATATTAGCTAGGGGTCCTGGCTACCTACAGGACACCTCAATAAATGAAGCATTCTCGCTACCTGGGAATACCTCGTTAAATAAGGGATATATTATTATTCTGGGTTGTTGGAGTCACAACAACTGTTTTGTATTACATGGGATGTGTTAAATTATCTACGTAGAGCAAATAATTTAAAAAATGCATAACAGGTTGTGTATATTTTAATGATAGGGAATTAGAAAAACCACAAAGTTAGTCATACAACACAACATTCCTGTGCAAGTTTTTTTTTACTGGCTTAAATACTGCATTTGAAAACTTGTTATCTGGCTTTGTGAGATGCACACTCTGGCAGCTGTTGTTGACACAAGCACCCCAAGACTCTAAGTAGCTTTTAAGGAACATTTCAGTGGGTAAAATGAAGTAACCTGCAGGAAAATCTCATCTGCATGCACAAACAAGGACTGACTTGGGGTGGAGAATATGCTTCTAGAAATCCCCTGATTCTACCCAGAGATTCCTCTGATCTCTCTCTCTCTCTTCAAGACACCATGTGCAGTGAAGGACTTACCCCTGCAAGTATTCAGATGGTATTAGCAACTCCTACAACTTAGAGGAGCCTTCAATCTTTGGAGGTTTCCCTAACTATCATATGTAAGGAGCTACTAGCTTCTGGTCTATATTCAAGGGACAATTACTCAACAATCTTAACCACAAATCACCTGATTGTTGGGCATGTGCCAACTTCTGAACCATAAGCTAACTATTCCTGTGCTTTCCTCCCAGTATTTAGTGGCCACATAACATGGAACAAAAAACAGTAATGAGTATCACAAACGGGTCTGGCACAGAGACTTGTATCCAGGGTTCATTGCTATGATCGTCACACATTTACAACTTTCTACCATCTTACTGGGGGCTGCAAAATAGCATCGGAGTGGGAAGACTGAGTGTAGTGGATACCTCTATTATGTCATTTATTACTAATACTAATGGATTTATGAAGGATGAGGTTAATCATAGAATTGATGAGGGAAAAAAGGTGAGTGGTGCGTTGAGGTATATGTGGAGGCAAAAAACGTTATCTATGGAGGCAAAGAAGGGAATGTATGAAAGTATAGTAGTACCAACACTCTTATATGGGTGTGAAGTTTGGGTGGTAAATGCAGCAGCGAGGAGACGGTTGGAGGCAGTGGAGATGTCCTGTTTAAGGGCAATGTGTGGTGTAAATATTATGCTGAAAATTCGGAGTGTGGAAATTAGGAGAAGGTGTGGAGTTAATAAAAGTATTAGTCAGAGGGCAGAAGAGGGGTTGTTGAGGTGGTTTGGTCATTTAGAGAGAATGGATCAAATTTAGAATGACATGGAAAGCATATAAATCTATAGGGGAAGGAAGGCGGGGTAGGGGTCGTCCTCGAAAGGGTTGGAGAGAGGGGGTAAAGGAGGTTTTGTGGGTAAGGGGCTTGGACTTCCAGCAAGCGTGCGTGAGCGTGTTAGATAGGAGTGAATGGAGACGAATGGTACTTGGGACCTGACGATCTGTTGGAGTGTGAGCAGGGTAATATTTAGTGAAGGGATTCAGGGAAACCGGTTATTTTCATATAGTCGGACTTGAGTCCTGGAAATGGGAAGTACAATGCCTGCACTTTAAAGGAGGGGTTTGGGATATTGGCAGTTTGGAGGGATATGTTGTGTATCTTTATATGTGTATGCTTCTAGACTGTTGTATTCTGAGCACCTCTGCAAAAACAGTGATAATGTGCGAGTGTGGTGAAAGTGTTGAATGATGATGAAAGTATTTTCTTTTGGGGGATTTTCTTTCTTTTTTGGGTCACCCTGCCTCGGTGGGAGACGGCCGACTTGTTGAAAAAAAAAAAAAAAAACTAATACAAATGCTCCTACTATTATGACTGCTGACAAGGGCAGTGATATGATAATAAAACAAGAGTGGAAGTGCTCGGCAGGACTGAATATATAAATCAGGCCTATCAAATCAAGGCCTGGTCTCAGACCGAGCCATGGGGGTGCTGGCCCCGAAGCCCTCTCCAGGAAGGCCTCTTATGGACATTGTTGGTTGCCAAACAACTATTTTGTAAGCCACATGAGGTTCTGAACTTAACAGCTACTAGGTAGTTCTTGATGCCACAGGTGTTTGTGCCAGAACAATGGTGCCCCGAGGCCTGGTGGCGAAAGTTTTTGCTTCACGTGGCGAGGGTCCAGGTTCAATTCCTGGCAAAAGGGTGGAAACATTGAATGTGTTTCTTTACCTGGTTGTCTATGTTCACCCATCAGTATAAAATGGGTACCTGGGAGTTAGTTGACTGGTGTGATACACAAATAACCCGCACATAAAAGAAAGGAGCTTATAACGATGTTTCGGTCTGACTTGGACCATTTACAAAGTCACACTAACGCAAAGGAGAGAAGGGGTATATATAGGCAGGAGGTAGTAGTACTAGTAGTGGAGGTAGAAGGTAGTAGTAGTAGTAGTAGGGGAAAATGTAGTAAGAAGGAGGAGGAACCAGTCAAATACTAAGAAAGAGGAGCACTGCAAGGGAGCTTGGTGCCCACAGAGAGTAAGAGCAAGAACACAGAGGGAGGAAAATAAATAAATAAATAATGAAGGAACAAATGCACAAGGCAGAAGAGAGACAACCCAAAGGAGAAAAAGGAGAGAGGAAAGGAGAAGAGAGTGAAGAAATAAAAGGAGGAATCAGGTTAAGTCATGGGGACAAAACTGACCTAATTTGCCCAAAATGCTCAGCATAACAAGCGGCTTTCTATCTAGTAGTATATCACTGAATCCAGTCAATGCATCACTTATTAATGAGTGAATCTGGTCGTTGGATCACTTATTTACGAATGAATCCAGTTGGTGGATTACTTAGTAACGAACGAATCTGGTCGGTGGATCACTTATTTACGAAGGAATCCGGCCAGTGGAATTTTTTTTAGACAATAAATTTCCACACTGCAGTTAATGAGAATTTTACCATTTTTTGTCTTGTAATCATTTTGGTCTTCTGAATGGGTCCCAGTTTTGAGTCCTTGAGTCTCAAGACTCACCTCATTTCAGTATTGTTACATTTATTGGCACTACTGCATGGTGTAATAGTTCAGAAATAATTAAAAGATAATAATCTAACTTAACTAAAACAATGTATGCCTAGAAATTAGCTTAAAATTCTACGAAGGAAATAAATAACAGATATAAGTCACTCTGACTTTTTTGGGTTATACCTGTAGGGGGGTTTCAGGGGTCAACGCCCCTGCAGCCCGCATGGAACTTTTTAGACAGCCAGGTCCATGACCAGACCTCATGGTGTATCAGAGCCTGATCAACCAGGCTATTATTGCTGGCCACACGTAAACCACGTGAGGTGCCTGTCCAGAGCCCTCTGAAGACAGCCAGGGGTCTATTGGGTTATCCTAGGTTCTCTACACATATGCTGCTATGTATGATAATTCTATGTAACTATCTGTGTATACCTGAGTAAACTTACTTACTTAAGCCCCCTTGTGTATGCTGGGAGGCAGTTGAGCACTCTTGGGCCTATGACACTCTGTGTGTTGTCTCTTTGTGCTGTAATGTATAGGTCAACTTTACTTGTTAGGTCAACCTCTGACCTCACAAGCACAGTTTACCTAATTAACACAATGTACAATAACTGTACTTATGTGTACCTGTACCTAAATAAACTTACTGGGCCACTGACAGCTTATGGCATATTGAGCCCTGTCTTCTGGTGTCAAGGAAAGACAAATCATCCACAGTGGAAAGAAGTTGGCCAGCAAAGCACATGTGCAACAGATGGGTATCTATATTCCGAAACGTTTTACCTACACAGTAGGATTCTTCTGTCAAATACAGAGGAGACAGCAGAAGCAGTGGAGATATAAAGATGTTGTAATCAGTCCATCACCCTTGATGACTTAGTTTTAAGGTGGTCAGTCCTGAACTGAACAACTGTTCCAGACTATGAAGCAGAAGGAATTCTTCTCCAGGCTGAGGGACTGACCACCTCAAAACTACGTCTGGGAGGGTGATGGACTGGTAGACAAAACTCATCTCACACACTTAGTGTCTGTAGTTCAATCACCAACACGGATGGAAACACTGGACGTGTTTCCTGACACCAGCTGTCCCTTAGGTATCTGGTGTTAGTCTCCTTACACCTACTCTCCCCACTGACCTAGCAGTAAGTAGGTAACTGGGAGTTAGTTGACTGGTGTGGGTGGCATCCTGGGGGACAAGATTGAAGGACCACAATGGAAATAAGACAGTCCTCAATGATGCACTGACTTTCTTGGATTGTCCTGGGTGGTTAACCCTCCCTACCCTGGTTTATCCTGGGTGGTTAACCCTCCCTACCCTTGGTTATCCTGGGTGGCTAACCCTCCCTATTTTGAGTTATCCCAGGTAGCTAACCCTCCCTACCCTGGGCTATCCTGGGTGGCTAACCCTCCGGGGTTAAAAATCCGGGTTATGGTTTGATAGTATTCTAAGGCCCCTACAGGTTTAAAGCTTTAAGGCATATCATGGTATTAAATATTGACACAATGGACTTGATAAAGCCCACTGTGTGGGCATTTGTGCAGAAGCGGGTCTACGGGCAGAAACATTAGGACGTGTTTCCTCAAGACACCTGCTGTCCATGTTCACCTAGCAGTAAAATAGGTACTGGTGTGGGTCGCATCCTGGGGATAAAATTAACCTAATTTGCCTGAAATGCTCTGCATAACCAGGGGCTTTCTATATAGTAGTATGTCATTGATGTCAGCTATGGTCTGTATATGTTGTATTATATACTTGTAGAAATAAAGATAATTATTATTATTACTACTACTATTATTATATACTAATGCAGCTTAAGCTTGAGGGCCCCTAACCCTAGAGGGGCCCTAAAAGTGACTTTACTCCATATTGCTTTCGAATTTTGGCCCTACTGTATGAGAAGGGGTCATAAAAAAAATATTAATAATATAGCTTAATTAAATACAAAATAATATGTAGCATCTTGCCTAGAAGGGGAGTAGGAAATGAATGGTTGTCTAGAGCAATTGGTGTAAATTGCTGGCTAGACAGATACTGCAAGGAACTTGCAATCCCATTCATTGACAACTGGAACAACTTTTATGGCAAACATGATATGTATGCAAGGGATGGGGTTCATCTCTCTGGGGCAGGGGTGGTAGCACTTGCAGACTCGATTGAGAAGGCCATTGGTGAAATGCCTATGATTTTAAACTGATGGAAGATAGAGGTATGGGTGTGTGTGGGAAACAAGCAGGTTGCAACACTAGGGTTGGAAAAAGTAAATGTATAAAAGGCATTCAGCATGAAGTTATAAATAAAGACAATAGAACAGGTCAGAAAACAAAGGGGGACAGCAGAGGGCAGCAAGGGACTAGCTCCCTTAAGGTTTACTATACTAATAGCAGGAGTGTTAGAAATAAGAATAGATGAGCTAAGATTAATTGCAAGTGCAGGAAACATAGATATTATTGCTATAACAGAGACCTGGCTCAATCTGAAAGATAGAGAGATGCCATCTGAATGTCACATACAAGGCTATAAATTATTCCACACTGACAGGGTCAACAGGAAAGGTGGTGGAGTAGCGATGTATGTCAGAGACAATTTAAATTGTTGTGTTAGACAAGTATTAAATTAGAAGCGTCAGCCACTGAATCTGTTTGGTTAACAGCTTCTCGAGGGCCGAGAAAAACTAATTTTGGGTGTGATTTACAGGGCCCCAAATCTTGATAGGGAGTGCAGTAAACTTCTATGGGACGAAATTCGTAAGGCATCTACATACGAAAATGTTGTGCTAATGGGAGACTTCAACTATAGACAGATTGACTGGAGCAATTTGACAGGAAATTTAGAGTCGGGTGACTTTCTTGATACGATCCAGGATTGTTTTTTAAAACAGTTTGTGACAGAGCCAACTAGGGGAAATAACCTCCTTGACTTGGTTCTTGCCAGTAGGGAAACACTAATTAATAATCTTGAGGTTAATGATGAGCTTGGGGAGAGTGATCACAAATCACTCAGTTTTAACATATCATGGAATTCCCCTAATAATGGCAATCAAGTCTCCGTCCCTGACTTTCGCTTGGCTGATTTCATAGGACTGAAAAATTACTTAGGTGGGCTGAACTGGAATGACCTGACTAGGGGTCAGGTAGGTGGTGATGGTTGCCGATATGATGCTTTCCAGGGCATAGTTCTAGCTGCTCAGTCAAATTATGTTCCAAATAGGGAAATCAGATCAAACAAAAATGATCCTAAATGGATGAACAATAGATTAAAATATCTGATTGGTCAAAAGAGAGGCATATATAGGCAAATCAAAAGAGGAGAGGGGCAATTAAGAAATCGATATATTCAGTTAAAGAGAGAAATAAAAAAGGGAATTAGAAAAGCAAAAAGAGATTATGAGGTTAAAGTTGCAAGAGAATCGAAGACTAACCCAAAAGGATTCTTTCAGGTATACAGAAGTAAGATCAGGGACAAGATAGGCCCACTCAAAAGTTCCTCGGGTCAGCTCACTGACAGTGATAAGGAAATGTGTAGAATTTTTAACACATACTTCCTCTCAGTTTTTACACAGGAGGATACCAGTGATATTCCAGTAATGATAAATTATGTAGAACAGGACGATAATAAACTGTGCACTATTAGGGTCACAAGTGACATGGTCCTTAGGCAAATAGATAAATTAAAACCTAACAAATCCCCAGGCCCTGATGAACTGTATGCAAGGGTTCTAAAGGAATGTAAAGAGGTGCTTAGCACACCTTTGGCTAATCTTTTCAACATATCACTACAAACTGGCATGGTGCCAGATAAGTGGAAAATGGCAAATGTGATACCTATTTTCAAAACAGGTGACAGGTCCTTAGCTTCGAACTATAGACCAATAAGCCTAACCTCCATAGTGGAAAATTTATGGAATCAATAATTGCCGAGGCAGTTCGTAGCCACCTTGAAAAGCATAAATTAATCAACGAATCTCAGCATGGTTTTACAAAGGGACGTTCCTGCCTTACGAATTTATTAACTTTTTTCACTAAGGTATTTGAGGAGGTAGATCATGGTAACGAATATGATATTGTGTATATGGACTTCAGTAAGGCTTTTGACAGGGTCCCACATCAGAGACTATTGAGGAAAATTAAAGCACATGGAATAGGAGGAGAAATTTTTTCCTGGATAGAGGCATGGTTGACAAATAGGCAGCAGAGAGTTTGCATAAATGGGGAGAAATCAGAGTGGGGAAGCGTCACGAGCGGTGTTCCACAGGGGTCAGTGTTGGGCCCCCTGCTGTTCACAATCTACATAAACGACATAGATGAGGGCATAAAGAGCGACATCGGCAAGTTTGCCGATGACACCAAAATAGGCCGTCGAATTCATTCTGACGAGGACATTCGAGCACTCCAGGAAGATTTGAATAGACTGATGCAGTGGTCGGAGAAGTGGCAGATGCAGTTTAATATAGACAAATGCAAAGTTCTAAATGTTGGACAGGACAATAACCATGCCACATATAAACTAAATAATGTAGATCTTAATATTACGGATTGCGAAAAAGATTTAGGAGTTCTGGTTAGCAGTAATCTGAAACCAAGACAACAGTGCATAAGTGTTCGCAATAAAGCTAATAGAATCCTTGGCTTCATATCAAGAAGCATAAATAATAGGAGTCCTCAGGTTGTTCTTCAACTCTATACATCCTTGGTTAGGCCTCATTTAGATTATGCTGCACAGTTTTGGTCACCGTATTACAGAATGGATATAAATTCTCTGGAAAATGTACAAAGGAGGATGACAAAGATGATCCCATGTATCAGAAACCTTCCCTATGAGGATAGACTAAGGGCCCTGAAACTGCACTCTCTAGAAAGACGTAGAATTAGGGGGGATATGATTGAGGTTTATAAGTGGAAGACAGGAATAAATAAAGGGGATGTAAATAGTGTGCTGAAAATATCTAGCCTAGACAGGACTCGCAGCAATGGTTTTAAGTTGGAAAAATTCAGATTCAGGAGGGATATAGGAAAGTACTGGTTTGGTAATAGAGTTGTGGATGAGTGGAACAAACTCCCAAGTACCGTTATAGAGGCCAGAACGTTGTGTAGCTTTAAAAATAGGTTGGATAAATACATGAGTAGATGTGGGTGGGTGTGAGTTAGACCTGATAGCTTGTGCTAACAGGTCGGTTGCCGTGTTCCTCCCTTAAGTCAGTGTGACCTGACCTGACTAGGTTGGGTGCATTGGCTTAAGCCGGTAGGGACTTGGACCTGCCTCGCATGGGCCAGTGGGCCTTCTGCAGTGTTCCTTCGTTCTTATGTTCTTATGTTCTTATAACAAATAAAAAGTTATTCAAGTCTCATGTAGGCCTAGCCATCACTGGTTGCCATGGTGGCCCCATAAGAGCTGATGTTCAAGGCCCCAAAAAGTAGGTCAGGGCACAGGTACACATAAATACAGTTACATAAATTATGATATATAGCAGCATATGTGTAGATTACCTAGGATAACCCAAAAATAAATGTCGAAGTGACTTATTACGCCCTAATCCACCATGAGGCCTGGTCACAGACCGGGCAGCGGGGGCGCTGACCCCCTAAACTCTCTCCAGGTATACTTCAGGACTAACCTTGGAAGAGAGGGGACATCTTCCACACTGATATACCTCCCTCACTCATGAACTGCCCAATGCCCACCTCCAGGAAGAACATGGGTAGTCCTCCCAGCAGGGCACATATGCAGTACGGGATCAGGAAGGCACCTGCAGAAGCAGAATATAGACATGTTAGTCATATTAGCTGGTCAAGAAGCATATTAGTCACTATCATCCATATATAAAAGTGCAACAGACCCCAATGATTGATATATTTAAAACATGCTCTCTCTCTCTCTCTCTCTCTCTCTCTCTCTCTCTCTATCTCACACACACACACATAAATGCACACCACATATTTCCTTGGACCTCCTCTTATCTGCAACATTGCAAGCTCTTGATATGCTGATTGCAACACGAAAGGCCTAGAGCTATCATTCATATATATATATATATATATTATATATATATATATATAATATATATATATATATATATATATATATATATATATATATATATATATATAATAATATATATATATATATATATATATATATAGGTTGGTAGACAGCAACCACCCAGGGAGGTACTACCGTCCTGCCAAGTGAGTGTAAAACGAAAGCCTGTAATTGTTTTACATGATGGTAGGATTGCTGGTGTCCTTTATTCTGTCTCATGAACATGCAAGATTTCAGGTACGTCTTGCTACTTCTACTTACACTTAGGTCACACTACACATACATGTACAAGCACATATATACACACCCCTCTGGGTTTTCTTCTATTTTCTTTCTAGTTCTTATTCTTGTTTATTTCCTCTTATCTCCATGGGGAAGTGGAACAGAATTCTTCCTCCGTAAGCCATGCGTGTTGTAAGAGGCGACTAAAATGCCGGGAGCAAGGGGCTAGTAACCTCTTCTCCTGTATATATTACTAAATGACTCAAGAAATCGTAATGACACGATTGCAAATAAACCATACCCCCGGCCGGGATTGAACCCGCGGTCATAGAGTCTCAAAACTCCAGCCCGTCGCGTTAGCCACTAGTGGCTAACGCGACGGGCTGGAGTTTTGAGACTCTATGACCGTGGGTTCAATCCCGGCCGGGGGTATGGTTTTATATTACTAAATGTAAAAGGAGAAACTTTCGTTTTTCCTTTTGGGCCACCCCGCCTCGGTGGGATACGGCCGGTGTGTTGAAAGAAGATATATATATATATATATATATATATATATATATATATATATATATATATATATATATATATATATATATATATATATATATATATATATATATATTCCTATAAATTGCAGACACAAAAGCAATGAAGGTCACAATATAAAATATTTTTAAAACAAGAAAGAAGTGTGGCATTAACAAATATTTTAAATACAGTTATGTACAACAATTATATTAACTAAAACACTGGAGTGGACTAAAAATATATGTTATAATATATGAAAAGAGGCCAACAGTGGTTAGTTAGGTCAGGTCAGGTCAGATAAGGTAAGGTTAGGTTAGGTCAGGTCAGCTTAGGTTAGGTTAGGTAAGGTAAGGTAAGGTTAGGTGGCCTGGTAGCTAAAGCTCCCGCTTCACACACGGAGGGCCCGGGTTCGATTCCCGGCGGGTGGAAACATTTCGACACGTTTCCTTACACCTGTTGTCCTGTTCACCTAGCAGCAAATAGGTACCTGGGTGTTAGTCGACTGGTGTGGGTCGCATCCTGGGGGACAAGATTAAGGACCCCAAAGGAAATAAGTTAGACAGTCCTCGATGACGCACTGACTTTCTTGGGTTATCCTGGGTGGCTAACCCTCCAGGGTTAAAAATCCGAATGAAACCTTATCTTAGGTCAGGTCAGGTTAGATTACGTTAGGTTGGGTAAGGCCAGGTTAGGTTAGCAGCACAGTGCTACCCACGTCCTGAGCAGCACATTGCTACCCACGTCCTGAGCAGCACAGTACTACCCACGTCCTGAGCAGCACAGTGCTACCCACGTCCTGAGCAGCACAGTACTACCCACGTCCTGAGCAGCACAGTGCTACCCACGTCCTGAGCAGCACATTGCTACCCACGTCCTGAGCAGCACAGTACTACCCACGTCCTGAGCAGCACATTGCTACCCACGTCCTGAGCAGCACAGTACTACCCACGTCCTGAGCAGCACAGTACTACCCACGTCCTGAGCAGCACAGTGCTACCCACGTCCTGAGCAGCACAGTACTACCCACGTCCTGAGCAGCACAGTACTACCCACGTCCTGAGCAGCACAGTACTACCCACGTCCTGAGCAGCACATTGCTACCCACGTCCTGAGCAGCACAGTGCTACCCACGTCCTGAGCAGCACATTGCTACCCACGTCCTGAGCAGCACAGTGCTACCCACGTCCTGAGCAGCACATTGCTACCCACGTCCTGAGCAGCACAGTGCTACCCACGTCCTAAATTAGCGATGTTTTATCCCAATATTAAACACTTATGCGAAGAATTAATTTGATATACACAACTCTTGGTGTATTATACACAAATGATACACATTGCTTAAAAATGTATACATATACAGAGAATGTTTATTGTACAATCAAGACCTGAAACTAAACACTGGTTAGCCTTTAACAAGGCTACGTCACAGCTCCCAGCTAATCGCGATGAGTTTACCCCATTAATTCACTCACTTGTGGCCAATTGCAGGGGGTTTACTGCCTTAAGTCACACACTTGTGGCCAATCATGAAGTTTTGAGAGACACTGCCAGCCCATCACAGTGTCGGCTGTAGCATCAAGTTATGACCAATAGTAATGCAGAGATTAACTGCAGGCTGGGTGTCTTATTTCCAAGGATAGACAGACTGGCAGACATAAATACACAGGAAGACAAAAATACACACACACCCACAACCCACACACACACACACACACACACACACACACAGCGAAGAGGCGGGGCCAGGAGCTGTGAATCGACCCCTGCAACCACAAATAGGTGAGTACACACACACACACATGACCAAGTCATCCTGACTCTCACTCTCATACTTAGTTATGTATATTTACTCAAATTAAGTTAAATTAACAACTGTCCATTAATAAACAGAAAGGTTCAGGCGGGGATCGAACCGCCGTCCTCACATTTACAGTCCGACGCTCTACCGACTGAGCTAACCAAGGAAATTAATAACTGTCCATTAATACACAGAAACGTTCAGGCGGGGATCGAACTGCCGTACTCATATTTATAGTCCGATGCTCTACCGACTGAGCTAACCAAGGAAATTAAACAGAAGTATTCAGTTAGTTTAATATCTTTATTATGCACCCCATACCCATCCTGTGGGCGGTAGTCAAAAGATTACAAAGGTACATAATGGGTCCAGGGACTGGACCCCAAAGTTATGATAGCTGAACTAGTTACAAAGGTAATGAACTCCAGGTAGATCTGGTCACAATCATGGCAAGTTACAGAGGTAATGAATCAGCCTCACTCCTATACATGGTTACAGTCATGAACAAATTACAAAGTAATGAACCACTGATACGTCCACACCTGGTCACAATTGTAATGAGTTACGAATACAAATATTAAGTGGATCATACACTCACACTAGCGCGCGCGCACACACACATACACACACGAGGTTTCACAGCATGGTTTCAGGGAAGGAAAATCCTGTGTCACAAACCTACTAGAGTTTTATGACAAGGTGACAGAAGTATGACAAGAGAGAGAGGGGTGGATCGACTGCATTTTTTTGGACTGCAAAAAGGCCTTCGACACAGTTCCTCACAAGAGGTTACTGAAAAAGCTAGAAGATCAGGCACACATAACAGGAAAGGCACTGCAATGGATCAGAGAATACCTGACAGGGAGGCAACAACGAGTCATGGTACGTGACGAGGTGTCAGAGTGGGCGCTTGTGACAAGCGGGGTTCCACAGGGGTCAGTCCTAGGACCTGTGCTGTTCTTGGTATATGTGAACGACATAACGGAAGGGATAGACTCAGAAGTGTCCTTGTTTGCAGATGATGTGAAGTTAATGAGAAGAATCAAATCGGATGAGGATCAGGCAGGACTACAAAGAGACCTGGACAGGCTACAAGCCTGGTCCAGCAACTGGCTCCTTGAATTTAACCCTGCCAAATGCAAAGTCATGAAGTTTGGGGAAGGGCAAAGAAGACCGCAGACACAATATAGTTTAGATGGCCAAAGACTGCAAACCTCACTCAAGGAAAAAGATCTGGGGGTGAGTATAATACCGAGCATATCTCCTGAGGCGCGCACAAATCAGATAACTGCTGCAGCATACGGGCGCCTGGCAAACCTACGGATAGCGTTCCGATACCTCAGTAAGGAGTCGTTCAAGACACTGTATACCATTTATGTCAGGCCCATACTGGAGTATGCAGCACCAGTTTGGAATCCACACCTAGTCAAGCACGTCAAGAAATTAGAGAAAGTGCAAAGGTTTGCAACAAGACTAGTTCCAGAGCTACGGGGATTGTCCTACGAAGAAAGGTTGAGGGAAATCGGCCTGACGACACTGGAGGCCAGGAGGGTTAGGGGAGACATGATAACGACATATAAAATACTGCGCGGAATAGACAAGGTGGACAAAGACAGGATGTTCCAGAGATGGGACACAGACACAAGAGGTCACAATTGGAAGTTGAAGACTCAGATGAATCAAAGGGATGTTAGGAAGTATTTCTTCAGTCATAGAGGAGTCAAGTCGTGGAATAGTCTAGAAAGTGAAGTAGTGGAGGCAGGAACCATACATAGTTTTAAGACGAGGTATGATAAAGCTCATGGAGCAGGGAGAGAGAGGACCTAGTAGCAATCAGTGAAGAGGCGTGGCCAGGAGCTATGACTCGACCCCTGCAACCACAAATAGGTGAGTACAAATAGGTGAGTTCGAGGGTGCACGCACAGACATATGCACACGAGCGTACAAATATATGCATACACACAAGCACGCACACATGCACACACACACACACACACACACACACACACACACACACACACACACACACACACACACACTACATTGTAGGTACAATTCAGTCCGGAGAACATAAAGTAGTCATTGGAGTGATGTATAACCCACCACAGAACTGCAGGAGGCCAAGCAGGAGGCCAAGAGAGGAGTACGAAGAAAACAAC